GTTATTCGAGGATGAAACCGATTGTTATCCTATCTACATGCGTCCAAAGGGCTCACGAACGTTCTTCCTCGGCTTGACGGGACACAGAGTAGATCAAGATCCACAACATTCAAACTAAGTTAAACTACATCCTTAAAGCTACTAACTTACAGCTGGGATGGTTAGTATTAAACTTACACAAGTCGGATATAGTACCATCGCCAGAATCTGCAACTAGGAATCCACGATTTATCACCAATCTCAACCGTATAGTCCCAAGAAGACCGTTGGCTTCCAGCAAGATCATTCCACCAGCTCTACTGTCACAGCTACTTAGGCAATGGCAGAGCTTACTGGGTCTTCTAACATCAGCCAAGACCTTGACAGTCATTGTGGTTAAATCCGTTACAGGTCTTCGATCAATACACATCGGCGACCTACAACCATTCCAGTCTACCGATACATCTCAGACCTCATCTATTATGGTGGACCGAAATCGAATGTCTCGCAGAAGGGATTTGTTTCAGAATTCAAGTGAGGAGCGTTAAGGTTAGGGGAGCTCATCTCTCCAACGGACGGCTTATCAGGGTTATGGACTCAGCTAGAAAGCAAACTCACACATAGCATTAGAGATGAAAGCTGTAATCAGCGCCATAAGACATTGGAGCAACATTCTACAGAAACTGATGATACATACCGACAACTTCGACGAGTGGCGTTTTTTATGTAAGGGAAGCTAGCCGAACCTTTTGCAACTGTTGAATTAATCCAAGATCTAAATCTACATGTCAAAGCATGCCACATTCCGGAGAATATTCACTCTCGGCCACATCTACCGTCGCCCGACAGAAGATGCTCAATACAGAGATATTTGCACAGATGAAAATCAAGGAGTGAATCTATTGCCACAAGGTTCAACCAATCTACAGGCGACCGTGTCACCAGTGCCAGACCCACAAGCATGGGATCTAAGCATTTCACAATAATACCCTCTAGTATTACAGAAAATCAACCCATGGGGAGCCTCAACTCACCAGACAGGCGTGGTTTTCCGCCTTAATACAAGATACATCAACCCGCACTAGAACTGCCAAACCTGTTAATACATCCTCACACCAAACAGGTGCACAGAAGCCCAAGTATTCAAACTTCAGTATTAATGGACTGTATTAAAATGTGTTTCAAACAAGAGAGGATATTCTACCAAGCTTGCCTTACTGATTGACTTATGCGATGACAAGTGGCAAAAGTTTCGAAAATTATGCAACCAGTTTTACAGCGAGCGTCCTCAAGTGGCAGACTATTTGTGTGTTACTACGGCAAAACAAACATTTAAAAGGCTCGACATTGTCAACATATCTTGCCGCCCTTAGTTCTGTGACTATGAGAGCTGTTAAATTAACCACCAGAGTTACTGGCCTTACTAAGTGCTTTCGATTGGAGGACCAAAAGCGGAAATTCCGCCAGCTTGGGATCTGAATGTAGTTTTCGACACCTCACAAGTGAGGATTCGAACCACAGCGTTTGAATTTCTCACAGAAAACAGTCTTCCTGTTATAAACTATGCGGCAAGAATAATATCTGAAATTCATGCTCTAGATTATGAGAGGATACAGTTTGATGAAAATCAAAGACGAAGCGCATGGGATCAAGATGGGATAAGAACTACCAGGTCCAGCCAGACGGGTTATTTCACATCCCTGCTATCCTCAATTCTTGGATCTCAAGATACGTTGGACTTATCTCTATGCCCAGCAGAGTGGATTCCAAAACAAAGGCGAAGATGCGGCTCAGAAGATTGTTCATCCCGTTATAAGCCTACCACATCAGACAGAAGTCTCTCGTGCCACCATATCAATATGGATAAGAACTGTCATTTTCTGGGCTATAAGGCAGCAGGACTGGACCACTCAACAGCATCCAAATCCCCATGGAAATCAGGGCATCCACCTACGCCTAACATGGTGTTTGCTAATCACTATCTCAGAGAGATATCACCACCGAGGACGTCTCTGGCATTATCATTTAGGTCCTTTGGTCCTAGCTCAGCAATTGACAGTTTTGTGGCTTTTGTTACCATATTGACATATAGAGTTTGAAATGTGAACAGGATTGTGATTATGAATCATGTCAGCCATACTGGTTTACTTCATGTCAATATATTTCAATGTCTACATATGGTAAAATATATTATTTATGCTTATGTTTTAACATAGTTTTGTTGGGCTCGCAAAATCAGGAGAGTGAAGCATGAAGAACCTTTCAAAATATTTGAAGATAATCATCTATGGAAATACTTAGGATAAAAAAAGCTTATGTTTTTACTTTGAAAGTAAATCATCTGTTTAGAGAAAAACATAATTGGATTCATGTTTAATACATACTGCTTGGCATCATATTCACAGTGAATGCACAACATTAACATATTGATTGAAATAGCAAAGGCATATTTCAGTGTCGAGCCAATAAAAATATATACTCTTGTTACAGTTATAGTATAGGTGGAAGGTAACAGGTTGTACATTTCAAACAGTTGACAAGCATCAGTAGCTTTGTTGCATCATTGATTACCAATACAATAGATTGATTCCATGGTTGAACAGTTGATATATGCCAGAGTAGTATGGTATAATAAACGTATCACATGGCATATTTCCCTAGAATGGTTATCGATTTGGTCACAGCTGGGTTAGTAGGTTATATGGAAGGGAGACACCAATATTGGTGGAGCATCTATACGTCATTCTGTTTGTCTGGCTGGAGGATTGGCTTGATGTGTTCTTAATTGGCTGGATTTGTGATACTTTTGATTTGGGCATTGCCTTGGCAGCATGCTCAAATATCCCTGAAGGATATTCTGGTTGTGTTTGGAATGTTTAGTTGAAGCCAGGATTACAGTTGTTCAACATCTGAAGATGTCTTATTACAGTATTGACGTCTGAACTATAATTGTGTCGCCATCTTGAATTTGGTGTTAACATTGTGAACCTTTGATAATTGTTTGTTCAACATCTTTGTCTTGTTTCCTGAAGTTCACTGGTTGGATTCTATTTGTGTCCAGCAACATAGTAATATTTCTGAATTGGATTTATGTCACAGGATGTTTGTAAACAAAGCTGCTGGATGAAGTCTTGTAATTCATTATGAGAACATGATTTCAGTGTTGAACATGTTGTCATCATGGTATATTATCGTAAGTTTGACTTTCATTGGATCTTACTGGATAACCTGAACCTTTCTGAATGATGATTCTTTCACTTACAACTGTCATTGAAAAGGAACACGAGAGATAATAAATCATCTGTACAACAGATTAGTATTGATATTGTGGATGTAGACCCTACATCGAGTAAGGACATTGTGAACTGAACCATATTGGATTTTATTGGAGTTGTCACCTGAGACTGAATTGTTTTTGAAGATTAGTTTGTGTAGACCCAAACTGCCAAGATGCATCGTAGATTCATTGTACAGTTCCTGTGTTTTGATCATGATGCCATCAGTCTCTTCCACCCATCCCACTTACGCCGACCTCGGCGACATCACTCGTGGTCACCTGGAACAGAACCCAACAAAGTCAGCTACTGGGACAAATTCAGAAAGTCTCCCCTGTAAGTCTGTATTTGGCTGAATATGTTAAGTCCTGAATCTGAACTTGGCCTCGTACACAGAGCAATCTTAGCGCTAAGATGATTATTAACACCTATGCTTATTCATAGAATTCAATATTCAATCATAATATTGCTTTGCGGACCAGAGACCAGAACCCCAGGGCCTAGATTTTTGAAGCTCTCTTAGAGCTAAGATCGTCGTAAGTTAATGTTAATGTATGGCAGTTACGACTATCGTAGCGCTAAGAGAGCTTCGAAAATCTAGTCCCTGAACTCCAGGACCACTTGCTTGGCGTAACGGTGGACTAGATGATTAGATTAGACAGTTCAAATGTGTGACCTGGTTTATTGATTGATAGTGTATCCATTTTTTGCTGTGAATAGCTGCAAAGTAACTGATGTGGCACAAACAATATTTCATTACTAACTACTTGTATCCAGATGGTATGAATCTGATGCTGTCAACCACCTGTTTATCTTGCTTGTGCTTGTGTACGTGCAGATGTATAGCTTGAATATTGCTGACAACATTCTATGAGTCAACATTCAGGCACTCACAATGGTCAACAAACATTGGAAACCAGAACCAGTCCGATACCATGAACCAAACTGTCATAATTAAATGTCAGATACAACCAAAATACATGCATAGCAGTCACATGACAGACAATGGACTTCCTTCTTTGTCGTGACTGATGGTGTTAACAGATTTCTGCGACTTATTGACAATTGAACTTAGGGCATGGGTACAATATTTTATTGTTTCCTTTATAGTCTGTTTGCAGTGAAAACGTACAGATGAATTTCACCTTAAACAAAAAAGTAAATCAAATAAAGTGAAATTGAGATTGTGAATCCTCATAACTTTACCTTGCCAATTGAACATTAAAATCTCAGAATTTTATTCAACTTAGGATAAAAGTTGTTTAACAAGCGATCGTAGTTTCGAATCGCTATTATTACTTTTTTTTGTTTAAAGTGAAATTCATTGGTACGTTTTCACTGCAAACAGACTATAGTAAGAATGTCAGGAAAATGTTTTTGTTTGAGGACCATTAAATAACTCACTGACTTTTGTGAGTACCTTTCAAATTATATAAATATCTTGTCATTGATGGATGCAATAAAGAGCAAGCTTAAACATGGCAAGATACCAAAAGATAACTGATTGATTACAATGACTTTATATGTATTTTAATATAGTGTCATGTCTTATCTTTGGACATCAGAAATGGGCTTCACACATTGTACCCATGTGGAGAATTGAACCCAACTCTTCAGCTTAACAAGTGAACACATTAACCACTTAGTTACCAACTCCCTCATGAATTACTTGTTTTAGTCTACCAAGTTTTGGTATTGACTACTGAACTGTTTCGGTCTTCATTCTTTTTGTTCTGTGTGCTGAAGGCGGCAGTGAAAACACACGGTCACAGGAGATTGTCAACCAGCTGCTGCAGGAAGCCATGGATGCTGAATCTGGGGATGCTGACAACAAGCACCTGCACATGGCATCAAACAGGTGGGTGACAAACATCTGCACATAGCATCAAACAGGTGGGTGACAAACATCTGCACATGGCATCAAACAGGTGGGTGACAAACATCTGCACATGGCATCAAACAGGTGGGTGACAAACATCTGCACATAGCATCAAACAGGTGGGTGACAAACATCTGCACATGGCATCAAACAGGTGGGTGACAAACATCTGCACATAGCATCAAACAGGTGGGTGACAAACACCTGCACATAGCATCAAACATGTGGGTGACAAACACCTGCACATGGCATCAAACATGTGGGTGACAAACATCTGTACATGGCATCAAACAGTTGGGTGACAAACATCTGCACATGGCATCAAACAGGTGGGTGACAAACATCTGCACATAGCATCAAACAGGTGGGTGACAAACATCTGCACATGGCATCAAACAGGTGGGTGACAAACATCTGCACATAGCATCAAACAGGTGGGTGACAAACACCTGCACATAGCATCAAACATGTGGGTGACAAACACCTGCACATGGCATCAAACATGTGGGTGACAAACATCTGTACATGGCATCAAACAGTTGGGTGACAAACATCTGCACATGGCATCAAACAGGTGGGTGACAAACATCTGCACATAGCATCAAACAGGTGGGTGACAAACATCTGCACATAGCATCAAACAGGTGGGTGACAAACATCTGCACATGGCATCAAACAGGTGGGTGACAAACATCTGCACATAGCATCAAACAGGTGGGTGACAAACACCTGCACATAGCATCAAACATGTGGGTGACAAACACCTGCACATGGCATCAAACATGTGGGTGACAAACATCTGTACATGGCATCAAACAGTTGGGTGACAAACATCTGCACATGGCATCAAACAGGTGGGTGACAAACATCTGCACATAGCATCAAACAGGTGGGTGACAAACATCTGCACATAGCATCAAACAGGTGGGTGACAAACACCTGCACATGGCATCAAACAGGTGGGTGACAAACATCTGCACATAGCATCAAACAGGTGGGTGACAAACATCTGCACATAGCATCAAACAGGTGGGTGACAAACACCTGCACATGGCATCAAACAGGTGGGTGACAAACATCTGCACATAGCATCAAACAGGTGGGTGACAAACATCTGCACATAGCATCAAACATGTGGGTGACAAACACCTGCACATGGCATCAAACATGTGGGTGACAAACATCTGCACATACCATCAAACAGGTGGGTGACAAACATCTGCACATACCATCAAACAGGTGGGTGACAAACATCTGCACATAGCATCAAACAGGTGGGTGACAAACATCTGCACATGGCATCAAACAGGTGGGTGACAAACATCTGCACATAGCATCAAACAGGTGGGTGACAAACACCTGCACATAGCATCAAACATGTGGGTGACAAACACCTGCACATGGCATCAAACAGGTGGGTGACAAACACCTGCACATGACATCAAACAAGTGGGTGACAAACATCTGCACATAGCATCAAACAGGTGGGTAACAAACATCTGCACATGGCATCAAACAGGTGGGTGACAAAAACCTGCACATGGCATCAAACAGGTTGATATCTGTACATTGCATTTGGATCACAAACAGATGCCCTAGTCAGACAGGTAGCACTCACTGTCCTAGCACCAACATGGATTATAATAGACACACCTCCACAACACTAGCTACATGTAATGTACATGTGAAAGGTTAACATGTTCATGTGAAATTCAGAACGGAAAATATTTCCAACATCAGTATTGGTTTTGTTTATTTATTTCCTTAAGAAAAAACAGTTCTTTAAGAGTTCTATACATTGTAAAGATAATCTTTGAAATTACTGACTCTGAAATGTTTGTGTCTGTTTGCAGCACACAGGAGTATGACCGCTACGGTTTCCAGAAGTGTTTGTTTGAGGAAGATGAAGACATTCTCCTGGCCCGAGCAGACCAGCTGCAGAGGCAGTCAGCAGAACTAGCCAACAATATCAAGGTATAACAACAACTACAACTACAACAACTACAACAACTACTACAACAACAACAACCTACCCATCCAAGCAGCATCATGATTGCCCATAGTATAGACAAACCAATTTGTAATTTCTTGATCAATGTCTGCAACTGTTAATTCTAATAGTTTACTAAGTAGACTGATTGAAGATTAAATCATGTACAAAAGATTACTATTGCATCAGAATTTGTCAAATCACTTAATTTGAAACAAAAAGGATATTTAACAGGCATTTGAGTTTCATTTGACTTGGCTATATTAATGGTTACGTTTGTCACACCTCCATAGAGAGATTCAACTACAGTGAAACCTGTCTAAACCAGCACCCCACGGGGCCGAAATATAATGCTGGTTTAGACAGGGTGCCGGTTTAGACAGTTATGATCATTTTCCAACATGGCTGCCATTTACACTCGTCAGTCTCTTTATCTGTATAATAAAGTGTACCGAGAGGAGTGTATTGGATTAAGGGACCTTGATTGGACTGCTCATACCCATGCCGGTGTAGCAGGCCATTTATTCCCCGGTCTAAACTTTCCCAAGGGAGAGGCCGAGGCAAAACTTTCCCTGGGGAGGTTTTGTCCGAGGATATTCTTACCCTGGGGAAAGTTTGGGCTAGGCTAAAGTTTCCCCCCCTAGGCCAAACTTTCCCCCCTGTTTAAACTAGGATATTTTGTTCTGTTTTCTATGAAAAGTGGGGAGATTCTGGCCTAGCTAGGCTACTTCTTCCCCACCCTTGTTTTTATATCAAAAGGGGGAGATTCTGGCCTACCTAGGCTACTTCTTCTCCACCCTCGTTCTCATATCAAAGGGGAGATCTGGCCTACCTAGGCTACTTCTTCTCCACCCTTGTTCTCATATCAAAAGGGGGAGATTCTGGCCTACCTAGGCTACTTCTTCTCCACCCTTGTTCTCATATCAAAAGGGGAGATTCTGGCCTACCTAGGCTACTTCTTCTCCACCCTTGTTCTCATATCAAAAGGGAGATCTGGCCTACCTAGGCTACTTCTTCTCCACCCTTGTTCTCATATCAAAAGGGGGAGATTCTGGCCTACCTAGGCTACTTCTTCCCCACCCTTGTTTTTATATCAAAAGGGGGAGATTCTGGCCTACCTAGGCTTCTTCTTCCCCACCCTTGTTTTTATATCAAAAGGGGGAGATTCTGGCCTACCTAGGCTACTTCTTCCCCACCATTGCTCTTACATAAAAAAAGGGGTGATTCTGGCCTAGCCAGCCTACTTCTTCCCCACCCTTGCTCTTACAAACCAACAGTAGGCTTGACTTATATTTTGGTACACATGTTTTCTAAATAGTCCACTTTTGCCTCTGACTTGGGTGTAGTGATTTGAATGCATATATCTCTAAATCCATCCTGTTCCTGTCGCCATTCCTATGAAGTCACATTGTATTAGTTCTTCATCTGTCCACCATAAGATGTAAACATTCAATCGCACATTTGATGGGTAAATAAGATGTAATATACACAGGTTGCTTGCTCTCTTATCACTAGTAATGATATAATATCTTTGCTTTTATTCTTGCTTTGCTTTTTAATCTCACCTTATAGAAGGGTATTGAAAGAAAATGGGAACCATGTACAAGTTATATATGAAGATGAAGATGACCTGTAAATTGTTAATGGAACTTGACATCAACATGAATATCTTATCAATGTGTTCACGTGAATAGCTATGTCTTGTTTTCGTTTCTGACTTTTTCAAGACGCACATAAACATGAAAACAAGGTTGGGGAAGAAATAGCCTAGCTAGGCCAGAATCTCCCCCTTTTGATATAAGAACAAGGATGGGAAACAAGTAGCCTTTAAAGTTGATCGAAGGGTGGGGAAAGTTTGGCCTAGGACAAACATTCCCCGGGGAAGATTAAGCCTGGGGGGGGGGGGAAAGTTTGGCCTAGGCTAAAAAGTTTCCCCGGGGAAAGTTTGTCCTAGGCCAAAGTTTCCCTGGTGCATGCCTGTGTTCAGTTCCCCATTTCATGTTATTGATGGAATATAGCTTAAGGTAAAACTGAACTCACTCATGTGTAAATGTATTCCCCACATGGGTACAATGTGTGAAGCCCATTTCTGGTGTCCCCCGCCGTGATATTGATGGAATATTGCTAAAAGTGGCGTAAAACTCAACTCCCTCACTCACTGACATGTGTAAATGTCCCAGGTGGCTGATGAAGCATCATCGCACCAGGTCAAGTGGGAGAACTTCATGGTGAATCAGTCAGGTCGACCTCTAAACAGGTCCCTGGAGCTGAAGACTCTCATCAGGTCAGGCATACCACACGAGTACAGAGAACAGGTGTGGAAAGGGTGAGTTGATTCAGTGTTTGTCTGTCCATATTGGGATGAGTGATAGCATGAGCTCACTTAAGTTGGAATCTTTTCCAATGATATGTATGTGTGTGAACACTTCTCAAATGAATATCCTCAGATCTATTACAATCTTTGGTGCATTGACACTGAAATATTAAACCAAAGTCAAATTTCATTTTGAAGTGATGGCATAACAACATTTTGCATCCAGTCTGATTGTGCTCCAATTTGTTGTACTGTTCTTCATAGCATTATATAGGAGGTCCAGTCACCCAATCAGTGTCAGTCACACAACCAACAAGGATCTCTTGAAATGTGTTACACTGCAAGGTGATGTGATCAGCCAGAAGGTGTAGGAGGTATAGGATGTTCCCTGATGGATGGGCACTGTATGCTGCAGGTGTAGGGTGTACTGGGTTTCCCATATGTATGCTGCAGGTGTAAGATGTACTGGGTTTCCCATATGTATGCTGCAGGTGTAGGGTGTACTGGGTTTCCCATATGTATACTGCAGGTGTAGGGTGTACTGGGTTTCCCATATGTATGCTGCAGGTGTAGGGTGTACTGGGTTTCCCATATGTATACTGCAGGTGTAGGGTGTACTGGGTTTCCCATATGTATACTGCAGGTGTAGGTGTATTGGGTTTCCCATATGTGTACTGCAGGTGTAGGGTGTACTGGATCTCCCATATGTGTACTGCAGGTGTAGGGTGTACTGGATCTCCCATATGTGTGCTGCAGGTGTGAGGGTGTACTGGGTTTCCCATATGTATACTGCAGGTGTAGGGTGTACTGTGCTCCCATATGTGTACTGCAGGTGTAGGGTGTACTGGTGCTCCCATATGTGTACTGCAGGTGTAGGATGTACTGGTGCTCCCATATGTGTACTGCAGGTGTAGGGTGTACTGGGTTTCCCATATGTATACTGCAGGTGTAGGGTGTACTGGGTTTCCCATATGTATACTGCAGGTGTAGGTGTATTGGGTTTCCCATATGTATACTGCAGGTGTAAGGTGTACTGGGGGTTTGAACCCCCCTCTTTTTAAAATGACTTAAGATCACATTGAGAGAAAAAAAATTACGTTGGCGGAGCCATGTGTATGGAACCCCCTCCTTTCAAAATTCCTGGATCCACCAATGCGATGTGTAGAGTATGCCATATGCATACTGCTGGTGTAGGGTGTATTGAGAGTGCCATGTGTATGCTGCAGGTGTAGGGTGTATTGAGAGTGCCATGTGTATCGTGCAGGTGTAGGGTGTATTGAGAGTGCCATGTGTATGCTGCAGGTGTAGGGTGTATTGAGAGTGCCATGTGTATGCTGCAGGTGTAGGGTGTATTGAGAGTGCCATGTGTATTGTGCAAGTCTAGGATGTGTAGAGTATGCCCTATGTATGCTGCAGGTGTATCAACATGCATATAGGCCAGTCGAGACAGAAGCTGGGTCCAGGATACTACAAGAGTCTGGTTGTCCGTGCCAAGGACACCAAGTCCAACCCTGCAGCCAAACAGGTGTGTAGCTCACGTCAACCAGGTTGACATACTGTGATGCAACATGTTTAGATTCTTCTGATTCTACTACCTTGTGGAGAACTTGAGGGATCTGGGTCCCGATCTAAGACATTTGTAATCCTATGATAAACTATAGAGTTACGACAAGTCGTAACGTTAGGACCGATTTGTGGATCGGGGCCCTCATCTTTTTACTATCAAATTGAGTTAAGGAATACATATGGATATTGAAAATATCTTTTTTCAGAAGTTCTACCTTGATAATAGGGTAACTGTTACTAATAGGTGTTTACTGTTAGATGACCTTAAATTTCACAACACAATTTATCTCCCAGTATGCTATAGTACTAAAATATACAGCAAATGGCTTGAACCAAAAATACAGTTTATTATATCTGTCAGTATGTTATAAGCATGTTCGTTATAAAAGTGTTCTTGTGTATTTGATGAGACAGTACATCAATTTCCCAAAGGTCCTGGAGTAGGGATGCTGTTTTCTGAAATCTTTATTTTGTGATAAAAATGTGCAGACATTCTTTGAACAATAAGAAACATTAATTTTGGTTGTTTGGGAATGCCAGTAATTCTTTCCTTCAAATAATTTCCCATTGAGCAGTATGGAGCCAAGTGTCCAGATTTATTTGAGCTTAGTTAACAACATGTCATCCTCTTTCAGATTGAACTTGACCTGTTGAGAACTCTGCCGAACAATCGACACTTTGAAAGACTTGAATCAGATGGCATCAAGAAATTAAGGAGAATCTTGCTGGCCTTCAGTGCCCAGAACATGGTGATTGGCTACTGCCAGGTGAGTCATGGGGCAATCTTTAAGGCCTTCAGTGCCCAGAACATGGTGATTGGCTACTGTTAGGTGAGTCATTGGGCAATCTTTAAGGCCTTCGGTGCCCAGAACATGGTGATTGGCTACTGTCAGGTGAGTCATGAGGCAATCTTTAAGGCCTTCAGTGCCCAGAACATGGTGATTGGCTACTGTCAGGTGAGTCATGGGGCAATCTTTAAGACCTTCAGTGCCCAGAACATGGTGATTGGCTACTGTCAGGTGAGTCATGAGGCAATCTTTAAGGCCTTCAGTGCCCAGAACATGGTGATTGACTACTGTCCAGGTGAGTCATGGGGCAATCTTTAAGGCCTTCAGTGCCCAGAACATGGTGATTGACTACTGTCAGGTGAGTCATGGGGCAATCTTTAAGGCCTTCAGTGCCCAGAACATGGTGATTGGCTACTGTCAAGGTGAGTCATGAGGCAATCTTTAAGGCCTTCAGTGCCCAGAACATGGTGATTGGCTACTGTCAGGTGAGTCATGGGGCAATCTTTAAGGCCTTCAGTGCCCAGAACATGGTGATTGGCTACTGCCAGGTGAGTCATGGGGCAATCTTTAAGGCCTTCAGTGCCCAGAACATGGTGATTGGCTACTGTCAGGTGAGTCATGAAGCAATCTTTAAGGCCTTCAGTGCCCAGAACATGGTGATTGGCTACTGCCAGGTGAGTCATGGGGCAATCTTTAAGGCCTTCAGTGCCCAGAACATGGTGATTGGCTACTGTTAGGTGAGTCATTGGGCAATCTTTAAGGCCTTCGGTGCCCAGAACATGGTGATTGGCTACTGTCAGGTGAGTCATGAGGCAATCTTTAAGGCCTTCAGTGCCCAGAACATGGTGATTGGCTACTGTTAGGTGAGTCATTGGGCAATCTTTAAGGCCTTCGGTGCCCAGAACATGGTGATTGGCTACTGCCAGGTGAGTCATGGGGCAATCTTTAAGGCCTTCAGTGCCCAGAACATGGTGATTGGCTACTGTTAGGTGAGTCATTGGGCAATCTTTAAGGCCTTCAGTGCCCAGAACATGGTGATTGGCTACTGTCAGGTGAGTCATGAGGCAATCTTTAAGGCCTTCAGTGCCCAGAACATGGTGATTGGCTACTGTCAGGTGAGTCATGGGGCAATCTTTAAGACCTTCAGTGCCCAGAACATGGTGATTGGCTACTGTCAGGTGAGTCATGAGGCAATCTTTAAGGCCTTCAGTGCCCAGAACATGGTGATTGACTACTGTCAGGTGAGTCATGGGGCAATCTTTAAGGCCTTCAGTGCCCAGAACATGGTGATTGACTACTGTCAGGTGAGTCATGGGGCAATCTTTAAGGCCTTCAGTGCCCAGAACATGGTGATTGGCTACTGTCAAGTGAGTCATGAGGCAATCTTTAAGGCCTTCAGTGCCCAGAACATGGTGATTGGCTACTGTCAGGTGAGTCATGGGGCAATCTTTAAGGCCTTCAGTGCCCAGAACATGGTGATTGGCTACTGTCAGGTGAGTCATGGGGCAATCTTTAAGGCCTTCAGTGCCCAGAACATGGTGATTGGCTACTGTCAGGTGAGTCATGAAGCAATCTTTAAGGCCTTCAGTGCCCAGAACATGGTGATTGGCTACTGTCAGGTGAGTCATGGGGCAATCTTTAAGGCCTTCAGTGCCCAGAACATGGTGATTGGCTACTGTCAGGTGAGTCATGGGGCAATCTTTAAGGCCTTCAGTGCCCAGAACATGGTGATTGGCTACTGCCAGGTGAGTCATGGGGCAATCTTTAAGGCCTTCAGTGCCCAGAACATGGTGATTGGCTACTGCCAGGTGAGTCATGGGGCAATCTTTAAGGCCTTCAGTGCCCAGAACATGGTGATTGGCTACTGCCAGGTGAGTCATGAGGCAATCTTTAAGGCCTTCAGTGCCCAGAACATGGTGATTGGCTACTGCCAGGTGAGTCATGGGGCAATCTTTAAGGCCTTCAGTGCCCAGAACATGGTGATTGGCTACTGCCAGGTGAGTCATGAGGCAATCTTTAAGGCCTTCAGTGCCCAGAACATGGTGATTGGCTACTGCCAGGTGAGTCATGGGGCAATCTTTAAGGCCTTCAGTGCCCAGAACATGGTGATTGGCTACTGCCAGGTGAGTCATGGGGCAATCTTTAAGGCCTTCAGTGCCCAGAACATGGTGATTGGCTACTGCCAGGTGAGTCATGGGGACATTACTACGAACAGGGCTTGGGCATGGTGCCATTGCAATTTCTGCACATTTTTGCAAATCTGTATACTGTAATCTGTATACACTGATATGTTTGTTGTTTGTTGTGAATAAATATAATATTTTGTTTGGCAATGATATTGGAAATTACTGACTACCTAACTGTTTATTTCCATGTGCAAGCATCTGTAAGTTTTCTGCCCTAATTGAATCCATTCCAGATGTTTTGTAGACTTTACTTTGTACACTGTGTCCAAATGTCACCGCTGATGCAGCGTTAAGCAATACTCACTCACTCAAACTGTCACCTTCTGCCTTCTATTGATGGTGTTTCTGTGCAGGGATTGAACCGACTAGCTGCCATAGCACTGCTGTTCCTGGCTGAGGAGGAAGCGTTCTGGTGTCTGGTGACGATAGTGGAACACCTGATGCCCCCGGACTACTTCACCACCACACTGGCGGCAGCACAGGCAGACCAGGTGAGGCTGTTACAACCACACAACACAACCTTCAGCAACTCGTGCTAATTGGGAGAGACTGGGGTGGTCAGGATGTGTGATTTGTTTGATCACTGGATCGTCTGGTCAAGATTTGATTGTTGACAGGCTGCCATCATGAATCTAGAATATTGTACAGCATGAAACAAACAAATGTTATTCCAGCTGATACTCACTTGGTATTGTGGAATAACAGTGTGTGTGTGAGTGAGTGAGTATGGTTTTACGCCACTTTTTAGCAATATTCCAGCAATATCACGGCAGGGGACACCAGAAATGGGCTTCACACATTGTACCCATGTGGGTTATCGAACCCGGGTCTTCGGTGTGACGAGCGAACGCTTTAACCACTAGGCTACCCCACCGCCCCTGTGGAATAACAGGCCATTACAAATATTCGATGCTTGTCAATAGGACCAGTGTTACAAAATGTGCCGATTATTCGTTATTGCAATTATTGTTAGTGCTGTCGACTATTGGTTTAGAGTCCCAGACTACATTATTCTGATAGAGGTGGTTTATTGCTGTCTGTGATGGAAGTTAACATTCAAACTGTGTGTTTATTTCCAGTGTGGTTATTACCGACCATCATGTATATTCCAGTGAGATCATTGCGGACTGTGATGTGTATTTAATGTATATATTCCAGCGTGTGTTGAAGGACTTAGTGCAGGACAAGTTGCCCAAGCTGTACAGTCATTTTGAGACCCACGATGTTGACTTGAGTCTGTTCACATTCAACTGGTTCCTCACGGTGTTTGTGGACAGTGTGCCGACGGAGACTTTCCTTAGAGTCTGGGACTCCTTCTTGTATGAAGGCAGTAAGGTAGGACCCTTCACTTTCTGTGTATACAGTCCACTGCTGGCATCAGTGTTTGCCCTTAACCCTGAAAAGATACAGGCCTTAAGGACCCAGAAACAAAAAAAGTTGTCTGTCCTGATCAGAATGTGTAGGGCCTATATCTTAATGTGGAAATTATACTGGGATGAAAAAGCTGTCGGCCTTAGCACCTACAGAAAACAAAAGCTGTGTGTCCGATTGGTTTTCAGTCGGCTTCGGTCCTAAGGACCAACATTAATTTCAAACGCTGGATGGCATCACTCCTTATGTTGGCGATGTAGAAAGTGAATTACTTTTCTCTTAAATTCTAGTTGGAATTTGTTTTTGGCATTTTGAAACAGTTTTTAGTTTTGCTCAGTTCCAGTGAACATTTAAAATAGCTCCATGTTTCACCTTAAGACAGCAATCATGACATCTTAGAGGTGAGTTCTGATTAGACACAACACTTACCATTAGACTGTTACTATTATCTGATTGGTTGGAAATGCGTTATTTTGTTTGTAGTGGTCCAATATTACCTATATTGTTTACCATTAGGTAATGGAGTCTTGTCAGTGGATAGAGTGTCATGTGACATAACTTTTCACTAATTTCATGGATGTTTGACCTTTCAGGTGCTGTTTCGGTTCGCAATTTCTTTCCTAAAGTACGCAGAGGAAGGAGTGTTGACCCAGAACACATCCTTCCTGGTTAACAGGTACATGCGCACTGTAGGTGAGCGGATGACTGACGCCAGAGGGATCTGTAAGGTATGATTCCAGCTTGATTCCGGACATTTGATAAATTGGTAAAAAATTCACCTCTACAATCACCCTGCCAGGGAGTACGCAAATAGTTCTTCCATGACAAGAAGAGCAATTTCTAGTTTCTTACAGTGATATAATGTAAACAAATATCAGCTGATGTTATGGGATCAACAACCAATCTATGAATTCCTTTAATGAGAATAGTTTGCCCAGTTTTCTAAGGCTTCAGTCCAGTGTGTGGAGTCTGGATCCATATTCAGGATCTTCATATACAGGAAATTCTGGTGCTCTTTACAGGTCTGAGATCCTTGGTAAACTGTGTTTCAATAAAGGTGGTAAACATCTCCAACCTTTGGGTTTTCTGCCCACATCGGACTGCAATATGGTCATGAGGCTGAATGACCACTCACTCACTCACTAATCTTGCTCTAATCAAGCTCAACAGTGGACTTCACGACAACACCTGTTCTACAGCTCGTTCACTCATTCCTCTTCCTTTTGGTGACACACAGGATATTCAAAGTTCAAAGGGTTGATTTGTTGTTTTTATTGTCGCTATTCATCATGTTCACAGGATTCTGTTATTTCACATCATGTATTTGTACTAAACAGTTATTATGTCTTTGTTGATATGATGCTGGAACAAACAAAGATCACATAGCCTTGTTAATGTTTGTTTTCCCAGAAATGAAGACCTAACCTTTGTTTCCATGGTTACAGATAGCCTTCCATGACCTGAACCCCTTCCCAATGAGGAGCATTGCTAGCAAGAGGCAGGGCCATCTAAATCAAATCAAGGTAGATAACTCGCAGTACATTTCAATATCATATGACTGGGCATAAACAGCAAACAAAAACAAACAAAAATACAAAAGAAGTAATCAAATCAAGAAATAGTATCCAGGCTGAAAAACATTAATCAGCTTCAGTGCTTGGTTATTTGACTGGGCATTTCATTTTAATGTGATTTCTTCTTTAGATTGAGTTGGCCGAGTTGGATGCAATCCGCCGCGACTTCAAGTCAGGGAGAGTCCCTGGCGAGACGATGGATTTCTACAGTGATGATGACCTTGATGATGATGCATGAGTGGCAGTTGCCATGGGAACAACACATTGACATACTTGGCGGGGAGCCCAGGCTGTCTTCCTGTACAACTAATTCACACTCGCCAGAATTGTTTTGATAAAGTTTGCTGATATTATGTATAGTTGATTCTTTAAATGTTAAAGTTGGTGTCTTTGGAATTAGGCATCCATTCTGCAATCAGAAGACTAAAATTGATTGATCCATAATCAATTTAAAAACAAACATTTCACTTTTAGTTAGTGATTCAAATCCATGCATAGCATCACCAAATATGTGACTGTATGTTAGTGTTGGGAATTGGTTGAAATCTCACAATTGATGATTGCTTCATTACCAACGAACAATCATCGAAAAAATTGGTTAGCGTCATTTTTCAGATTTTACTATCCAGGTTGTTATTCCAGATATGTATAACATGATGCAACTTGCTACTTTAAAGTGATGACTAATATATCATGAACATAAACTTCCTTGAGTCTTAGAGAAATATTCAGTCATGGCTTTTCAGTTAGTGAAGTGAGTTTTCTAAGAATTAAACATGTTTTCAGGCCCTGACAACTTCTAAGATATGTTCCATTGTCAAGTTTTTCAAAGACTAAAACAGTAGTTCCAAAATCGTTTATGTTCGATTATGAGAAAATGTGATCGATTGCTTGGTCGATTGGTCACTGCGACCAATCTTCGATTATTTCAATTAATCGGAACACCACTACTGTATATACTACACTCACTAAGAATCATGGGAATGTTATTTGATAAGATAAATCCTGCTGGGATTAACGTTTAATCTTTGTTTTTCCAAGACAAATATGTAAGCTGCTACGGACTAGGTAAATCCATCCAATTGAACATTAAATTATATATTAATAGCAGTTGATATAGCTAGACTTCTGTGATAACCGAATATTTTTTTATCGATTATGACCTACTTTTTGTGTAGTGATTGCCTGTGCATGGTTGTCTCCCTTGGATGCCCCAGGAAGTTCTGAATAAGGGTTTGAATTCCAGTTCATCCCGAGTGTGTTACTAGGTTTGTCAGCACTGTATCCATAGATATCACCAAAGAGGTAAAAGTCTTAGATTTATATTTCAAAACCTCATTTTGTATATGATCATGTGATTCTAAACATTCTTTATAATTTGTGACTGGTGTGCTGTGAAATATTTTGACAATGACGTAAAGGGTTGAACTGAATAGTAACATTCTTGTTCCATTTGTTGGATTGAGAGTAACCGTCATTGTGACTGAGAACAAATGCCAGTCATGCTTCATATTTAAATATTCTCAAGAGGGTTTCAGTTCAGAGAGATTATCTTCAGCTACTGAACATTATTGTAACTATGTAAATATTTCATAAAGTTGTTGTGTAAATAACACATTCCAACACTCATCAAGTTGTTTCCATACATCAATGTTACACATTCCTAACTTGTTGCTAGTGATCAAAGGATGAAAAAGTGCTAAAATATCTAAATGCCTATACATATCGGTATGTACTTGATTACGTGAGACTTGCTTGGGATTAGATCATGTTTGACCTGCTCCGACATTATCTCACTGCATGTGATTGAATCAGTCTTGATCATGTTATTTATTTGTTAATCATGTTGAAAGAGGACCTTGTCGAGATGTTATTGTCCACAGTCTGCCTATTCCTGTGTCTGTCCTATGAACCATGGCTCAGAGAGGATTTTTATTCTTCTGGTAAATAATAATGGCTTTGCTTTTAAAACTACGAGGATACAAGGCATTTGTTAATCTATGTTTTAACATTCTAAAATCAAAATACTGAAAGATATTTCCTGCCATTTTTTCTGTCTATGCCTTTCTGTGATTCATGTCTCCCTGACAGTGTTCTAGTCTTGTGTTATGTGTCAGACAGTGTTATCCCTGTGGGGTAATGGAAATTCCTAATCCTCTTAAACACTGACTTCCATTAAAACATTTTCACCTCAACACCTCCACCAAAAAACACCAAACAAACACCTCCATGAATATATCCTAACCTTATTCCTTCACAAACACCCCAAACCAAATACCCCTACCCAGACACCCCAGTCCAAAAACTCCACACCTTATTATGTCCATTCAATTTACCCCAGGCCACTCACATCCCCACCCCACCCATCCCCATCTGAACACCATTGCATTATTTAGCCATTGAGACAAGAATGGGATGTTTCAAATGATCGTGAATAAGGTTTTCATTGTCTGATAAGAAGTGGCTTTGGCATCAACTATCTTGATTGCTGATTGGTGGAAAACATTCCAACACCTAGGCATGATAAGGAGTGTCTTTAGCGTCAACTGTCTGTGTCCTTAACATGTACACCTTACCTGGAATGTTTGATGACACCTGTAAGGGACTATGTGGGTGTGCCCATTTTGCAAGATGTTTAGATTCTAGGGAGCAGACTCTCAATGACATTGTTCATTTGATAGGTCTTTCTACATGCAAAATGTGAAAAAATGTTGGACATTTAGGTTTATAAAGTATAGGAGCGGAATGTACAGACAAAACACTATTTTCATTATGGCATTGTTATTTTGATGGGTCTTTCATGCAGGCACAATATGATCATGTATGATATTTAGGTTTGTGAGGGTTTGGAAGCGGTCTGTACAGAGAAAACTATTTTCCTGACGAAATTGTTAAGTTAATGTGTCTATCATACAGGCAATATGATATGAATTTGATATTTAGGTTATTGATTGTTTGGAGGTTCAGGTGTTTCTGGCTTCTGTGGGCGCTCCTGTATGGGAGAGGTGATTGTAATCACTTACCTGGCACGGTGGACAGAAGGAGCCATATTGTGTGTTAATTTACCCCGGTGCTTCTTGCTACCTGTATCAGGTCTATTGCTTTCAGTTCTGTGATAATAAGTGGTCTTCCATTTGGCCTTAGAAATCTGTATTCCAGGACTTAAACGCTTATGGGTGTGAACACAAATCACAACATGCCATGTTTAGTTATGAATCCCAATGCAGAGTGTGTATTCCAAAGTGTAATCTTCACGAAAATGTGTGTATTGTATTTTGACACAAGTGTATGTACACATATGTGCACATTATTTTGATACCAGCGTATGTACACAGAGGTGCACTGCGTTTTGGCACAGGTGTATGTACACATAGATGCAGAGTATGTTGATACATGTGTATGTAAACAGGTGCTCTCTATTTTGGCACAGGTGTATGTAAACAGGTGCTCTGTATTTTGATACAGGTAACACACACAGGTGCTCTGTATTTTTATACAGGTGTATGTAAACAGGTGTACTATGTTTCGGCAGACGTGTATGTAAACACTAGTGCATTTTATTTTGACACTTAGTTTAGAGAATGTAACGCATGTATGGTGTATTTTGAGTTTCACGTTCAAAGGTGTTCTATATTTGCACACAATTGTATGTAAACACAGGTGTATTGTATTTGACACAGGAGCATTGCACTCTGATTCACAGAATCTTTGAAGTTCTATCTGCAGATATACTACTGAAAATGTTTTTACGTTCTTTTATGTTCTTACACACATACACCTTTTCTTGTCTCATGCTTTTGCTTTGCAAAATGTCTGCTATGTTGACTTTATTATAAAAAGTTAACATACTTCTGGTACTTGTTCTTTGTAACCAGGGATCATCTATTCCAGTGGGCGCTTCTGATGGACAGGGCATAGTGGATCATGTCACCATGATTTGCTTTGCGGAGTTGTGTCCCTTTGGATCCAGTGATCATTAGTTTGAATCCCAGATTCACCCCACTTACAATCCTTGGCCTGTCAGATTCACCCCACTTACTATCCTTGGCCTGTCAGAAACATATTCCCCCTGATAATTTATTTTTCCCTAATCGTATATGTCTCCTTTATCTGTCCTTCGACTTGAAGGTAAAACACTTGTAAAAAAGTACCAACTGGAGCAAGCCGTGCCTTACGAGCTGACTAACGAGCTTCATTATTATCATTCAGCTTCCTTGTTAAAATGCCCTTATATAATAGACTATGAAAGCTGAAGAATGCCAGTCAACCTGCTTATTCCAGTCATCAGATTTGATCACATCACTTCCATAATGTATATAGTTCACTATTGTAATTCCATGCACGTAACACTTTGTTGTATATGTAAATTATTCCGTAGTGTACAGTGTGTCAAATGTGAACTGATCCTTCATTGAGGACACTCATGTGATGTTAGATGTTGGCCATATTGGCGAATGTTTCATTGTTATTGGGCTATTTATTGATGTCAGAGCAGTATTACACATTGCTTTTTTGCATTTAGAATATGGTTTGTTATGACATACATGAAAGGGATATAGTGAGTGAATGTTGTTTTATGGTGTAGTCCACAATAGTTCAGCTATATTGAGCAGCCTGTGAACAATCATCTCTGGGCCAGACAAACAGTGAGTGAGTAAGATTAGTTTTACGCTGCTTTTAGCAATATTCCAGCAATATCATGGTGGGGGGACACCAGAAATGGGCTTCACACAATGTACCCATGTGGGGAATCGAATCACAGGTCTTCGGCATGACGAGCGAATGCTTTAACCACTAGGCTACCGCACCACCCCGCCAGACAAACAAGTGGTTGACAGCATGAAGAACAATTGGTGTCACTGGGATACAGAACACAATGTTCAGATCACACAGTGTCTTCAGTTGGGATGACTCATATTCACAGGGATTGAAAACTACTTTTTCTCGGAATCCCCCGTGCTGCAAAATACAGTTGAGTAAGATAACTTTGTCCAGCTTCTCATGCAGTATGGGGGGCGGTGGGGTAGCCCAGGGGGTATAGCGTTTGCTCGTCATGCAGAAGACCTGTGGTTCGATTCCCCACATGGGTACAGTGTGTGAAGCCCTTTTCTGGTGATATTGCTGGAATATTGCTAAAAGCAGCGTAAAACCCAACTCACTTACCCACCCATGCAATATGAAGCAATACATTATCACGAGCAGGATTTGCAGGAGACTCAGCATACCTTGCTGGAATGGGGATTGTGTTGTCAAAATGGCTGTTGTGATGAAAATAATCTGGATAGAGACCTTTTACCGGGGACCCCAGTAATTAATTGACATCATATATTGATGGCATGGATTATTTGCTGATGCTGAAAAACTGGTTTGTCTGGTCCAGACTTGGCACATTCAGGCTGGTAAAATATTACTGTTATATTGCAGACTAACATGTGTATACCCACACATCTACTCACATACCCTTAATTTGTAAATGTTTTTTTTAAAACAACTTCACTCCAATCCTTATATATATTTGCTGGAAGAAATTTCACAGACTATAGGATAGTTTCTGGAACCGCATTGGCAATATATTGATTTATCTTTCTTATTACATACCAGTACACAAAAGAATTTGATAAAACCATCTGATTATTTTATATGACTTTAGTTAATCTGTCTTGCCATGTGGTTATGTTAGTGGAATTGAAATTTTTCAACAGTTATTCACCCTCAGTTTTGGCCGGTATATACATTATGTATTTATGCTTGTGTAGAAATTCACTGTTCATTCTGTTGCTATACTTAAGTTACACCAATGCATTTTTTCCCTTTTGTTATGCCAATACATTTTGCTGAAGAATAACATCAATTTGTCTCATTGTTATTTCTCTTAGAAAATTAACTTCAATCTTGAGAACAAATTTTAAGTAATGTTATTTCAGCTTCTAGGATTGTTGTTTCTGGATTAATCTATAAAATATAAAAATATTGTTCTTGCTTCAATAGAAAATGTCAGTACCGGAAATTCAGGTATTTAGGCCAACGCGAAATTTAGCCCATGGGCTGAAATACGGATTTTTTCCCGTATTTAAGCCCATGGGTTTAAATTTGGATTTAATTCTTTGGTGTTTAGAGTGACGTCCCTTTCCAAACGGAGACTTTGACTCTGAATAGTGTCACTGCCATAGATATCAGTCAGTCACTCCTGTCAGATTAGTTTCAAGTTAAAATGTTTATGAGTAAGATAAACCTGGGGCTTAAATACGGGAATTCCCGGTACTAAGTTTCCACATGTTCTAGGGTAGTTAGTACATGCAATACTCCTAGCTGTGAGTTTACCAGCTGCAATAACTGTATATGTCATTACATATTTTAAACCAAAACTTGCCATTTGGGAGTGTTTGAGTGTGATGTTACGTTTTAAGTGCTTATTGTTATTGTGGTTCATTCACTGTTACATTCACACATTCCATAGGTGTGCTTTCATGTCAAATGTGCTCTTTAAGCAAATCTGAATGTTTTGTATCACCATTTGCCTGTGTCATAATATGAGTTGGAGTGTTCTTGACTTGACCTTGTAATATTTTGACAGTTTTGAATTGTGTAGAATAGGCAACAGAGACATGGAGATGATTTCTTTTTGTATGTTTGTTGAAAATACAATAAATTTTTGTATGTCTTAACTAATTAAACAATGACTAATTGATTTTTTTAGAATCTTGCTCTTTGTGTGAAATACACGTACCGGTACCTATATATTTTTATGTTTGTGTGCTCAAAATTAGCAGTTTGTGTTGTTTTGAGTCTATTTTTTAAATAGATGTTTATTATATTTGTATTCCTGCAAGTATGATGGGTAAACTCTAGTTAAGTGTTCCATAAAAAAGCACAGTATGAGATTGAAGCTATGGCCAGGGTAACTGCTGTGAACATTTTATTTGAGCAAATAGTGACAAAATATAATGCTGAGCAGTGGAAGTTTGATGTTACAAAACAATTAAATACTAGTATAGAAGTGGTGCCAAGATATAAGCTTGACAGGGAAATTCTTATCCTAAATATATATCTATTGTCTTACCATGTATTTAGTTTTAATCATTAAGAAAATACAAAAAGGTATGTTCAAACAATATTGCCTTTTCTCATTAAATTATGAAGATTTTAGATCACTCAGTGTCATATTCATCTTATGAAACAAGAAATACAAACAGCCACCAGTTTCAGAGTTACCAAGGCATCAGCAAATCATGTTTGTTTCAGTGGATTTTGTTAGCTTGTTTGACAATTGTTAGTCATGGAAAATGTCCCAGGCAGATGGAACTATCTAGATTATGGAGAAAATATTGTGTTCTTTGTGTGTTTTATTAAGTTCCTGCATGTAAATTCTGTGTTTTATTAGGTTCCTGTGTTAATGGATTTGTTGTGGTCACTGAAGAACGAAGAATGGAATTGTGTTCACCAATCTATCTGTATAGAATACACTGCTCAACTCTTTCTATTGATATTGATATACAAGTTTACTTCATAGTTGTGACTTCAGACTGTCACTAAAAGATAGATGGAAATACTCAGTGTATGAACTTTGTCTATTGCAATAGTAATGGGATATAAGCAGTTGTTTTTCATTCATGTTGAATATTTTGACCATGGTAATAAAAAGGTCCATGTCATAAGTATTCATTTCTGATTTCATTCTAAAGTGTGTGTTTTTTCAGGTATCCCAAGTAGCATGTATGCCAAAGTATGTTATAGTGATATTGATCAAATGTGCTCTGAACTTTCAATTTCAGATTCTATTGTGGAAGTTTCAGTAGAGCATGGTAATTAACATTGTTTCGACTGAATCTAGATGATACAATTGTCTGTAAATGCAGACTTCCTATAATGAGTGCAATAAAGACTTTACACTTAAGTGTGTCCTGTGTCATTGGTTATGCATTGAATGCCATTAGGTGTCTCCCATGTTATGCTTGTAGAACTGAAACAGAACAGGTCACACACCTGCAGACGTCAGGGTGGTCACAATTACAGTTTATAAACCTATCTCCGATTTTGTGTGTAGTAAAGTAGGATCCTTCCAGAATCAGGTACACCTCTGCTGTGACTTTGCTCTGATCATTTCTAAACCTAGGTTTTGAAGTACACGTTTCAAAACCTCATATCAGGTTACATTTCGACCATTTCATAACCTAGGTTATGATTGATACAACTTTGTCTTGCTATCACTGATCGTAAAATATCACATTATTGAAAACTTCCAGTTAATAGTGGCGATAACTGGTTTTGAACCCGCAACCCTTCACTCACTAGCTTGGCGGTTTTATCCACAAGGCTACAAAGGATTGCTGCAAAGAATGAGATTTGTTTGTCAGTATGAATCATGTGTTCCTCACAAGACGGGTACTTCGGGCAGCGCACATGCAGGACACGGGTTGTGCGTGCGAGGCAAGGTGTTGGCTTCCAGTGGCATCCCAGTTGACACCGGTTGTTCCATCATTTGGGGGCTGTTCCATCAATATTGTTCTGCTCAGTACAGGTACACAAAACATTTGACCAAATTGAACATAATACATATTTGTGTCGGATAAGACACTCCTCCTCGGTTTTGGTAGCAAATGTAAACCTCCAGCCCGAGGGATTTTCCCGATTCCAAGGGTTTAAATTTGCTACCAAAACCTCAGTCGTGTTTTATCCTTTACATATATCCTGGCTGGTTCCAAGAGTCATCTGGAAATGCTACAGAACAAAAGCTATATCCAGCTTGTGATATCTCAAATTTATTTTCCATCCAAACAACATATACTATCAGTTCAATAAACTGTGATGAATAGAAGAATTGCAGCCACTGCTTTGGATACAAGAAACCCCCAGACATGTTGCATTTCAAACAAAATATATAATTCCACTTCCTTATTTCCGTACTTTCGGAATTCCGTGAGATGTGTGCATGCACTGTGTCATCATTATGCTTGAGTTGTTAATAAGTCTAATAAGTTTTTTCATTAGCTCTGTTAATTTGTTTGTGTTCTCATTGCAAGTTTTCGGAGTCCTTTTGAGAAACGGAGGTTGAAAGGTGTTGTGATTGGAGTGACTTTTCGACATTGGTGATGTTTATACCATGATTCTGAGGTGAGCTTGTTATCCCAGTTTTTGTTTTGACCGAGATGGCCAAGAGTTGTGGTCAGCCAAAATGGCGCTGGCACCTAGTGTCACCAAAGAACAGGTCAATGAACTTGAAGTTGGCAAAGTCAGACTTTTTGACTATGCGGACAATCTCAAGGAGATTCCCACTCATACAGACACGACCTCCATAGGAGGAAAGTCTATAGTTTCTTCCAAAGGAGGAAACAGAAAAAAGATTGAGCAACCTAAAGCTGGAGATAAGCACTACAGTGGCTTGCAGAGGGCCAGGCAGAGCAGTCACAGACCATGGAGAATATTGGGTCAGTGCTGGATCTGATCAGCAGTCGACTGGCTTCAGGTGGAGATTCACGGAATCAGCCGAGCACTTCCGAATGTCTCTAAGATGGCGGCGCCCATGATAGATCACAGGAACTTGACAGCAGATACCATATTATAGAATATGGCCTCTGTTAACAGTGAAACCAAAGATGATGATGATATTGACTTACTTGTGACTAATTGCATGAATGCAAGTGATCCTAAGGACACAGAGCAACATGCTAATGACGACTATGTCAACAATGACAATCTAATGGCTGACATGAGTTTTTTTATGAGGAAGATGAAACAGGCCGAGATACTCTGTGGGCTAGCAAAATACATCAATGACGGCTTAGCAAAGACCCCTAACATGGAAAAATTGAACTCTTTGATGGACAAATATAAGTGGCCGAGAAATAAAGAACTCTTGGTAGTTCCTCGTGTCAATGAGGAAATTTGGAATTAGGCAAAGCCTCACACAAGAGGTCATGATCTGAAACTACAACAGACACAAGGTTTGCTTGTGAAAACTGCCATTCCCCTTGTGAGGATTTATGAACACTTTGATGAACGCAGTTATGTCAAAACAAGGTGATCCAAAAGAGCTTTTGGCCATAACTAAAGAATCCCTTCGCTTGCTTATGGGAGTTTACCCAGACATGAATGTGAAACGGCGTGAAAACTTCAAACCAGACTTACAAGGCCCATACAGGAGGTTGTGTGCCAGTGGAAAAGCTACCACGACAAAGCTCTTTGGGGACGACCTCTCAAAGAACATTAAAGACATTAGTGAGTTGGAAGAATTAAGCAGGAAGTTACATGGTGACAAAGCAGCACACAAAGGTGGGTTTAAGTAGCCCTTTCGAGGTGGTTTTGGCAACAGATATAAGCCCTATGATAGTTCTTTCAGGGGTCACAAGAAAGTCGACCCAGTGAAAGGAAGAGGATCCTCTTGGGACCTCCGAACAGGGAAGATCAACCCCTACACAGGCCCCTTACAGACAGAGTGTTTTTTTCAGTGAATATGAACAGGAGAGCCATATTGTTGGGAAGGAGTTAAATGTGTTGACCTTGAACACTCCTGACAACTATAAGGCAGGGAAGACTGGCTTACATTGTAAGAATTGGCAGGCTATCACTTCAGACCCTTGGACATTATCATGTGTTAAAGGTGCTAACATTGACTTCACGTCCCTACCACACACATATTTGTCCCTACACCCATCTTTTTAAGGGGATGAGTGGGAACAGGTAGACAGGGAAGTTACTAGCCTTTTTGAAAAATTAGTAATTGAAATGTGTGAACATGAAGAAAATGAGTACATTTGCTACATTTTTTCAAGAACGAAAAAAGTCTCTTCCAACTGCATTGTGAACACTACGAATCAGTATTCAAGAAAGACAAAGGAAGCCACACAGAAGAGCATCAAAAGACACGATATCCCCATGGGTGAAGACTGTCATGAGAACTGCTGGTATTGATATGACTGCACCACATAGCATAAGATCAGCTTCTACAAGCAGTGCATGTAGACAGAGAGTGCCTTAAGACTATTCTGCAAACTGCAGGCTGGAAAAGTAATTGTGTGTTTGCTACATTTTATTGCAAGCCTGTTTCTCAAACTGGTAGTTTTGGTGATGCCATCTTCGTGTCAAGTGTTGACTAAAACTCGGTTTGGTTTGAGTGAGTGAGTTTTGTTTTACGCCACTATTGGCAATATTCCAGCAATATCATGGCGGGGGACACCAGAAATGGGCTTCACATATTGTACCCATGTGGGGAATCGAACCCATGGTCTTCAGCGTGATGAGCGAACGCTTTAACCACTAGGCTTCCCCACTGCCCCCAGTTTGGTTTGACATGTACACTAGTATTGATATGTTCAGGTAGATGTGGTAAAGCCATCTTAAAGTCATGTTTGACTAATACTTGAGTTGAGTTTGAAATGTAACTGTACACTGGTATTGATATGTTGTGTTTTCTGCTATACAGGTTTATAGTATGAATAAATGCATTCTGTGAGATTACAACTTTTCTTTTGAGAGGATAATATGATTCCTGCTCTAAATATTCCCGAAAGTCCGGAATAGGGAAGTGGAATTTAAAATTTAAATGAGACTTACCTGTAAGGTGAAGTTTGATATAAATTCCACTGACTGAGTAAGTGCCCTCCGCTCCGGCCCTTGGCTTCAAGGAATCATATTATTGCTTTAATTCCCCTAGTACTCCATAGGTCAGTGGAATTTATATCAAACTTCACCTTACAGATAAGTCTCGTTTATTTTTTAATTCTTTTTCATAGAGATCGTCCTTGGGGTACATATATGCATTTTCTGCGGCTGAAAATGTCATGTGACAGTTGTATCAATGTTTTAATAAAAATATTGTACAATAAATAAACATCTTTTTTATCTATTATACGGCCCCTACCACGTGGAGTTACCTCCCTGCTACGCATGCGCAGCCAACCAGGTAAGCACCTAGGCCCGTATCATCATTCCTTCTGCTGTCACTCAAGCATTCACACGTGTTCCGAGTTCATAGCTGAATTACTTCTATTTGTGAAGAATGTCTGAGACTCCAACAACTGTATGTATGGTCTTTATTCGTTCTTTACAGAACAGTTTTATTGACTTTGCAGTCTGTTATTTCTCATTTCTGTGACTTTGTATTAAACCTTTACGCTAGCTTTCCCGTGGTTTACGCACGTGTTGCTCTTCCATGGCGGGAAGTTTAGCGTGCCACGTGGTTGTCATATTGCGTTATTAACCAAGTATTTCATGTCCCGTGGTCGCATTACGTAATTTTCAATGTTTTGTACGTGTATATTTATGCTGCTGGTTCCGCTGTTAGCTACAAGCTTGCATGTTTGCTTTCAGGCGTTTACTGGGTGTTCTGTCCGTGGGCAGAACATCCCTAGAGCCGACAAGCATGTTTGTGCTGCTTAGAGAAGGTGGGACATAACCCTGATGTCTGCGAGCTTTGTATGGCCTTTTCCCCCCAGGCCCAGAAGAGAAGGGCGGCGGATTTCCTTTTCTATAAGGAATTGCGAGAGGCGGGAGGGGAACTTACCCAGGAGGTCCCCCCGTCCAAAGCCCAAAAAATCCAAACAAACTAAATCTAGGTCGCATAAGTTGCCTTTCCAGTCATACCACTCGGTGCTGGCACAGGGTCTGTTGAGGATTCCTGGGGTTCCGTTCCCTGCGCCCCCCTGCCCCATGTGTCTTGGGACCGGGGTTCGAGTAGTGTGTCGGTTGCCGGAGCGGGGAGTTCCTTCGGCTCTTCCCTTCCCTTGGTGTCTGGGGCTTGGCCTCCCACGGGTTGCCTCCCACCGGGTCGGGTTCGGATCCTCTTCCAGAATTCTGAATGGACTTTCGGGAGGTCGAGGAGCCGGAGGGCACTTTCCGTTTCTCATCGGCTCTCCGGGAGGTGTGGCAGCGTATTGCCGAGTACATTCCCCAAGCCGCGGTACCCACATGTCACTCGGACTCAGCTGAGTTCCGCCTGCCGGGCGAGGCGTTTGCCCCTAGGCAACCCCCGCAGACACTGCTCCATATCTGGTTGGATCCAGGAGGGGATCGCCTCCGGTTCGACACGCCTCCGGTTCGATTTACCCTAACTCGTTAAGAGGTACCAGCTGGGGGACGATTCTCTGTTCTTTGTGCCGGTGGTTGACGAGTGCGTGTTCACTTCGGTCGCCCTCGGGGGAGGCTCGGCTTTTCAGGCGCAGCCCCGGCTGCCAAGCAAGGGCGTTTAGTTCCACCGTTTGCCCTTGCGGGCGCCCCTCTGCACTTATGAGGAAGTCCACCGGAATGCCATGCAGCAGGTGCGGGTGGTGATCCATCAGGCCTACCTTTCCTCTATTCAAAGGTCGGCTCTGGAGGCGGAAGGGAGCACTTGGGACGTGTCCCCGCATGTTGTTCTGCTTTGCCAATTGTCCGAAGTGCAGGCCCACCTAGCGCGAGACTCTTTGCGGTCTGCCGCGTCTACGGTGATGTGCGCAGTCATGGGGATGCTCAAGCTGTGGCTGTCTACATCCCGCTACTTGGCAGCGAAACAGCAGACCTTGCTGGCTCTTCCCTTCCGGCTGGGAGCGACGTTGTTTCTGGGGGCTCAACGGGTCATTCGGGAGGCTGCTGCTGCAGCTACCTCCTTCAAGGACTCTAAGGGGCGCAGCCTACGCCCGAGTCTGCCGGCTGGCTTCGGCTGCTGGGCAGGGGTAGGAGGAGCAGCCGTCCCGCCAAAGGTAAGGGCAAGGAGCAGTCCTCTTCGTTTTCGAGGGCTTCCGGGAGCATGTTCAGGGCCAGGTGGTTCGTCTTCAGTTGGACAACCTTACGGCCATGACGTACATCCTGAAGCAAGGCGGCACGGTGTCCCTAGAGCTCCTTTGGGAGACGTGGGAATTTCTCCTTGGGATCCTGGCCCCACATGAGTGGATGCTCCACCGGCAGATATTCGGAGTTATCTCCCAGTTGTACGGATCATTCCAGGTGGATCTGTTTGCGTCCGGCGGGACGAATCAGATACCTGTGCTCTGCTCTCGAATACCGGACTAGAGGGCGTTGGCTTCAGACGCCTTCCTGCTGGATTGGACAGGCAAAGTGCTCTGGGCGTTCCCGCCGCTACCACTCATTCCCCGGGTCTTCTCCCAGCTGTCCACCCAGCCAGCTCGGCTACTTGTGCTACTGGCACCGCTATGGCCATCACAAAGCTGGTTTCCAGTAATTCTCAGGTTTCTCGCTCAGCCTCCTGTTCTATTACCTTTGCGACCAGACATTCTCACTCAGAACGGCGCGCCATACCCCAATCCAAGGATTCAGTGGGTGGCTTGGCCTCTGTCAGGTCTAGCCTCGAAGCACGCGGAATTCCTGCAGCAGTTGCAGACACAATTCTGGCTTCGAGGTGGGATTCGACAAACGTTCAATATGAGGATAGGTGGTCCCGCTATGCACGCTGGTGTTCAGATAAGGGGATTGCAGATCCCAGTATTGGAGTTTTTGCAAGCTCATTTGGAAGAAGGCTTGGCGGCTTCAACCATTCGTGGCTACTCCGCCGCTATTGCCACTTTTCACACCCCCGTCGATGGTGCTCTTCTGGGGCAGCACCCTCTTCTACAGCGCTTTTTAGCTGGCTTGGATCGGGTTCGACCTGCTGTCAGGCGAAACAGCCCACCTTGGGATTTGTCAATCATGCTAGATTGGCTGTCCGGTCCTATGTTCTCACGTCTATTGGCTATTTCCATTCAGTTGTTAACATGGAAGGCCGTATTTCTGGTGGCGGTAACATCTGGGCGTAGGGTCGGCGACTTACATGCTATGTCGGCAGACCCAGCGCTGACTGTGTTCCATCCAGATCGTGTCAGTATTCGCCTCCCGGATACTTACTGTCCGAAGATCGATCACGCTTTCCATGTGACAGCTCCTATCGAACTTCCTACTCTGTCTGTTACATTCTTCCTAACGATCGCTATTTATGTGTACTTTGACAGAATTCCCTCCTCCCTGGCCTCCGGGCTTTGGGAGTCAGAGTTAATGCATATATGTACCCCAAGGACGATCTCTATGAAAAAGAATTAGCTAAACCTGTAGAGGTTTCCAATTCTTTGAAGAGAGTCGTCCTTGGGGTAGGGACGCCCACCTCCCCACAATTCTGTTTACTGATTTATTCAGCAGAAGGAATGATGATACGGGCCTAGGTGCTTACCTGGTTGGCTGCGCATGCGTAGCAGGGAGGTAACTCCACGTGGTGGGGGCCGTATAATAGATAAAAAAGATTTTCATTTGTTGTAAAATATTTTTATTAAAACATTGATACAATTGTCACATGACATTTTCAGCGGCAGAAAATGCATATATGTACCCCAAGGACGACTCTCTCCAAAGAATTGGAAACCTCTACAGGTTTAGCCAAATTTCTCCACAATGAGACAACTGGGAAAATTAACTTCTGTTTCAGCTTAACTGGTCCAGTTAATTGAGGAGGCAACAAATAAAGGCTGCTGCATCCAACAAAAATGTCTTGGGGGTCTGATCACACATAACAGAATCAGGAACATTTTGGATGACACCTGGTACATGTCCAACGAAAATGTGATGTTAGATACTGACGCCAGGCTTCACATGACATGTCCTACACCAGTAGTCATGTGAGCATGATATGGCTGATAACGTCCTTTCACAATGAAGATGGCTTTCATTTCACTTTCTCTGCTGTTTCATTCTCTTAACTTTCTGCACCACACCTTTGCTTCATCTCTTCTGCCAGCTGACTCCTTTTGGTCAACTTCTTGAGATGGTTTCACCGCCATGTTTTCTGTGGTATCATCAGTCAGCTTGCATACATCTTCCAGCCTCTCGGGCACCTGACCTTGGTATGACCTTGGCATGAGAGACCCCAGATCTATGTCTGCCAGGAGAAAGCAGGTATGAGTACACTATGACCAGTGAACGTTTGCATCTCCTTTACTGAAAACCTCATGTATCCCAATTATTCAGCTTTGCGAGTCCTCATGATGTTGCATGTGTCATACATTGTGTTTCGTGTTCTTCTGTGTCTGCTCTTGTTCCTCCTGGACATGCTTCCTCTTCCTGAGGTTCTCCTGATCCACGGACCCCATCTGCCCCTGTTCAGTCTGTGTCACATGTGTCCCAGTTTTGGGAATCTGTTCAAGCAAGTCATCACAGGACATCAACTGTTTGTCCTTAACTTTGTTGGATGAGGATGTTAAATGTCTGTTAACCAAATCTCCATATCTGTAACACGTTACCACTTCAATTATGGCCTCTTGTAAATTTGGACTGGTGTTGGTGTTGGTGTTGGAGGAACTGAGTGGATTTCCATCTGGTAGACACATCCTAGAAGAAAACAGACGTTATCACAATATTCAGTTTCAAGGAGGGGATAAAAATACACGATCACAAACCTATACACTGTCAAGTCCCCATTCTCGTTGAATGTACACAATTGCTATTATTTTAATATAAAAGTATAATTAAAAAAACAAACCAACTAAAAATGAATTCAAAGCACAATAACCTTTTAAGCAAGCTTAGTACATCCACTACCTGCAGAAGGCACTTTCTTGTCATAGTAATTTCTAATTCTGACAAGAAATCACTGTCAAGTGTTTTGTTCATGAACAGTTGAAAGATTCCCAGTTGTTGTCAGTGGAAATGTCACATGTCACTTATGTACAGCACGTTGTATATTTCAATCATATACACATCATATTGTGTCCCCCTCTTTATCACAATTACACAAAATGGACTTGACACACAATTCAAGATGAAATGATTCAGTCTGAGAAAGATACTACTACTATTGTAAATGTTAAAAATAATATGCTCAATGTAATGGACTAGTCATGTATTATGCACCAATATGTTTTAACTGACTAAAGACATATGCAGAAAAACATGGCTGAAGTGCTGAAAAAATTATTTCTTCAATAGTCAGGTGATCTATACAACCTTGTGGCTCTATTTTCAGTTTGCCAAAGTGAACTTCAGTATATTGCATTGACAGCAAAAGGTACTATCCAGGTCATAATTCTAAATGTTTTCAATATGTTGTTTGTATCATATATACATATCAATTTTAAAATTGTAACACAATTTCTCAAGATTTGACGTGAGTGAGTAAGTTTTACAACACATAATCCAGCAATATCACTGCAGTGGGCTGAGAAATGGGCTTTACACATTGTACCCATGATAGGAAACGAATTCCTCATCTTCAGCATGACAAGCAAATGCCTCGACCACTGGACTACCCCAATATCCTTCAAGTGGCTTTAGCTGTGATATATCGTACCTGGAATTCCCAGGCTGATGTTGAGCCCCATTAGTGACAGTAGCTGCCGTCTGTAGTCCTCTGTGACACTCAACTGAACCCTCTGAAACAACACACTGTGGAATAGGAGGCATGAAGTCTCTTTCACAAAAAGACTAATGTTATTTGTAACAAACACTGAGCCAATTTGCTTATAAAACAGAGAGTTAAACTTAGTTTTAGGATCAAATGTTACAAAAGATCTTTCAGATTAATGATCTCTTTCTCACAAGAGATTTTTTAAGATAATGGACAGGTTTTCTGACCAAGTTTTCTGGCCCATCATCTGATAGTTAATGGATGACAACCAGATCTCTTGAATAACCCTCAATAAAATGTCAGCATTCCGCATACTAATATCTTGCTATTTTTAGCAGTTGTTGATTGAAGAAGCTCCGTATTTACTTAGCAACTATGAAATCATTGATTTTTAAAGTTATCAAGCTGTAAGAACAGTTTACTGAAAATGATGTTTGCTTAATGAGACATGTACAGTAAGCATGCAAGCAGTAACAATAAATTCTGATGGAAACGTACAAGGAGGTCCAGGTTGAGGCAGACACCTGCAACGAAGTACGAACCATGATTGGTTATTGTGATTTTTTCCAGTAACTTTTTTTCACAGCCAAAATTGTGACTTTTTTCCTTAAACTTTCTTTCCGATCACCGCTCAAAAGTTGCTTGATCTGGTTACAACATAAAGGCATGGTATGCATGTTGAGGAAATTACCTAATTTGATGCAGCAGTGACAGAAATTATACCTCATACAATATGCTACTTTCAGCGAATTGATGTTCCCATGATTTTTTTCAGGTGAAAAATTGGCTCACCTTTGTATGTGTTTGTGGTGGTTCCACCCATAGACCAGGATACGCTCACCTTTATTCCATTTTTGTGAGCTCCTGATACCTTCATTTTTTATATTGATTCATAAAAACATGCTCATGATAAAGTTGAAATTCTAGCTGAAATTTTTATGATAATGTAAAGGTTTTCTGTGGATGTTATTAAATTGTAAATCTGTGACCTCCGTAACACCTCACCTTGAGGGTGACCTGCATGATCTGGGTAATCATCTATTGGTTCCTCCTTGACCTCAACCAGATCAAATTCCTTATCATGAGGCTCTGAAATAAGATCACTTTCCTCACAAGTGTCTGTTGTTTCTCCATCATATTCGTCCTCCTCATCATCATCGTCATCATCATCATCATCAGGATTGATGATAACCACAAAATCATCTACAGGTTCCTCTTTCACCTCGAGCTGCTTCTCCACAAGTACCTGATGCTTTCCAGAACCACTCTCCCTTCCAACATGGTGTAGATTCCCCTGAATAACACCACCCTTATCTGGATGGTCATGTGGATTATCCCTGGTCAGTGAGGTTCTTTGGCCAGTCTGGACTGAAACAGGATTCTGAACTCTAGAACTGTCCAGGGAACTATTACTTAGCACCTGACAACCAATCTCATTGTTCATGTGTTTCGGGGGTACTTCACCTAAAATGTACCCATTCGATACCTGGTTCATAAATGCAGGCTGTTGACTGATCTTCGGATCAGAGGTTGTAGTTTGTGGTTTGTTTACAAAGGGTGAGTGCTCGAGAACATTTTGTTGATAAGAGTTCACGCTTGGCTGTGAGCCGACAAGGACTGGTATTTGTTGCTGATGTTGCTGCTGTTGCTGATGTTGCTGACTGTTACCCGTTCCAGATTTCTGCCTGTCCCTGCCAAGTGTCACATAAACCTGGCCTGGTTCAAAGAAAAGTTCAAAAGATTTTACTGTCAACTGTATAGCACAGGTGGGTATATTTGAAATGTTAACTATAAACTGTATATTTATATACTTATCTTATCTAACTTTGTAAACATATTGGTAGCTGGGACACATTGATGGTTTGGTTATTCAAAAGGCATAATATTTTAATTAATAATGCATTGATTACTAATGTGATATACATGAAGTTAATCAATTTTCCAAAGTTGAAGATTGTGGTCATGTTAAGATTGAGTCTTTCTATTCTATGAATTTTCTTGGAAGATTTCAGGGTGAAGTGGGTGAATGAGTACAACTGCTGAAATACCTAGGAACATGAATGAGACGAACTGGGATTTGAACCCATAATCATTGGTTTCTGGTGTGCCCAAGAAATGCAAATCTACACAGCTGCTGGATCACACTAAAGAAAGATAAAGGGGGTAAAATCATGGAACCAGGTAATAAACCAAGACAATAGTCTCCTTGTGTTATGGTTTTTAGGCACATACGAACATCTATTGTTGTCTCCATTATTGCATGAACAGTTGCAAAACATGTCACTAACTTTATCCAAAACACAAGCCGTCATTCAAGAATTTATAATGTCTCTGTGATGCAACACCCCTATAAACTGAGTGATTACTTCCGTTAAAAAATGTATGAGCCAATGATAATATAACGATTATGGGAATAAAACACATAAAAACGGAAATGACTTGGTTATTTTTATTTGAACCTGGGCCTGAGATACTGAGAAGGTGACTTATACCATCATTTACTTACTTCATTTCTTTGCCACTATACAAATTAATAGAGTGCTAGATAAATATTCTGAACTCATGGTAGGCTTACCGTTCTGATTGACAACTTTGATATTTCGGCTACTCAGGGATTCCCTTGAGCTGACTTCATCCTGACGGGAATCATAATTACTATGCAGATCCTCAACTCTGCTTATTATGCCTGTTTTCAGCTCTCTGAAACATTATTTTTACTAATGTTTTATGTTTCATCATGAAATGAGAATGACAGTACATTACAAAAAGCATTACTGATCTACATAAAAGTTCAAACCAATTCTTTTCACTCCTGCAAAATAATTAATTTCCCAGCATGATACATGCAGATTTACCATGAAATATATGTTTTGTTTTTATGGGATATTTTTCATTGAAGAAATTGAAGTAATTTTCTAACTGCATCCAAAGAGTTATGTCTTTTCTGCAACATATCGATTCCACGACAACCACAAACCTGCGAACTGGTTAACTTGCTCAAGCCTGATAAACCACTTTCTCCCAGAAAATGCTCAGATATTATAAATACAATTGTTTTTTTATAAATCTTAAAGTCACTATGTCACACATTTTTGACAATATATTCACCTATATTATATATATTGGGGCATATGCACTCACTTTAGCTTCCTATTGATGCAATAAAAGACTTATTATCCCTTAAAACTTGCCTGAAATCGATAATTGAAATTTCGAGGCGAACAGCTTCCATACAGAGAACACTTGCCATATATAGAATGAAAACAATTGCTTCGTACATAAAAAACTGTTGCACACGGTGTTGTTGGTTTCCGATTGTTTTTACTTATTCAGTTACAGTGTTGGAGGCTACACACGCACACAAACAACCATTTCTGCCAGTAAAATATTCCTATATTCCAAGAACCTGTGTTACGATGAAAGATATGAAACATTAGACTTCTATTGATAAGATTGATGTAGAAAATTGAAACTACAAATGCTTGTGTTAGTAATATTTCCATAGAACAGCAAGTGTAATATACGCTGAATACATCTCACATTTCTGTTATCATGTTTACAGATTTTATGACTGTGTTCAGAAGCTGGAATGATTAGTAGTGGTTGTAACAATAAGTTTGTTAACTTTGACATAAATATGTGAGAGGGCAACGATGTCTTGTTGCTTAAGAATTTTGTCAATTTTGAGTAATCTGTCACAAGTTCAGGGCTCCAAATCATTATATTAGAATCTCGTACATTTTCCCTCTCCGTATCCTTACCCTACACAATTGTACCAATACCAAACAAAAAGCAATCTACATTCATTTATTGAGTTTCAGTAGATGTAAGAATAAAAACAAAACAAAAATGTATTTGTTTCATGAGAATATTTATTAAGTGACATATTATTGTGAAACAACATAACATGCAATCAACAAAACAATTCAGTGTACCAGTAAGGCCATAACAATTATCTTTCTCATCAACATTACATCTAATCATAGAAATTGTTTCACAATCATAAACATTGCCTTAGAATGTTTTCCTGCAATCCTTGTCAAATTAGAATTGTTCATCAATTTCATCTACGACTGTGTCACATATCTGTTTTACATGTTTGGTAAAGAAACCCTAAAAATTCATGAAAATGATGTCAGGCAATGTTTATTTACAAAATATACACTAAAAATTATATAGGAAAAAGAAACCCACATTTTCATGGCCATAAATTTGTTTTTTACAGGAATCAAGTTCATGTTCTGGGGGACAATGAGGGAGGAAGGGGAGAGGTGGGCGTGGGAGAGGTAGGCGTGGGAGAGGTGGGCGTGGCTAGACTCGAAGAGAGACAGTGGGGCAGACATGACATCCAGCACTAGACTTTCAGGGACTAGTGCTAATTTCAAACTCTGCAAAACATTTCTTATATGGCAAATGAGATATTGTAACAGAATAAATAAGTAAATCATTAGAGCCTATATTGAACAAGAACTTTATCTCTTGTATAAACTTGTCAGTGGCTGACAGCCATCGAGAAGAATGAAGAGGTTGAGGGAGAGATCGTGGCCGAGGGAGGGATGGTTTGCATGAGTATGCTGTACAGCACATCTCAGCCCTGCGAGAACAGAGATTGGACCGAATTTCAATGAGGGTTTACATGAGCTTAAACAAAATATAACATTGCTACAGACAGATTTGCTTGCAGCAAGTGGATCATTTCAACATTGCTATGCAACAAGTATTTGTACATTGATCTACATATTTATACAAGTATAGTTACACATAATATACTCATCCAAAAAAGTTAATGACCACCCCAATATTCAATATTTAAGTATTATATGGATCATAATATGATCTATTTTAAAAATACTTTAATATTGGAAATTGGGGTGGTCCTTCACTTTTTTTTGTTGAGTATAAGATGTTGTAATAATTTGACCCAGCAATAGCACATGCTTGCCAGTGTCTTTTACAGAAAATATATGAGATAAACTCTAAGATTCAAAGTTTTAAAACTCAGAATACAAAAGGCTAAAATTCAATTTAGAAATTTGATTATAGTGAGCAACTAGGGAAAATTATTTATCAACATGAAATTTTTCGTGTGAAACCAAATTGGAAGTGAGAAATACAGGGAGAGGGAATCCATCATCATATTGAAAGCATATATAATCCAAGACTGCAAATGAAATAAACACTTGTACCATAACCAAAATCTTTTGAGACAATACGCTTTGTTCAGTCACCATATATGCTGTGAGTTTGAGGTGTAATTTGAAAATGACGTCACTTAGTGACCAATTGTCACCATGAATGAGCCAATATAGATAAAACATCTCTTGAGTTTCTATCAATGAAGATAACCTATTTATATCTGTGCCGAAATATTTAGCAAATTAATATTCATACATACCCATTAAAGTGATCTGTCGATATACTTGACACCTCAGACTTTCCTACCTCCATGTCATCAGGTCTCTTTCTCATTGGTGCTGATTGGGAATCGGATGCATTCATTCTCACGAATGCATCATTCCTGTCAAAAAAGGATATGATAAATTACCTTGAATTTACCTTGACTAATTTGTTCTTCATAATGACATTAAAAATCACAAACAAAAAGATTACAAAGCTTGACTGACTGAGCTATAACATGTTAGAATATAACTGGGAGTCACATCTGACAGTACTTTGGCAACAAAAGCAAAATAATATATATCTAATTACATAAAAGTAATAAAATATAGGATAAGATTTCTTAAAATGCCAAGTATCAGATTCCCCAAAAATGTTACAACATGATGATGCTTTACGATGATAGAGGTAAAAATAACTGGGCCTCTATTGGGCCTATATTAAGAACAGCACTATCCCGTTTCAAATGTAGTTCTCATGATCTTCTAACAGAAAAAAAGTAGATATTTAGGGATATCATGGGAAAACCAATTGTATCAATATTGTACTTATCAGGAGGTAGAATATGAATACCATTTCTTGCTTCTCTGTCCGTTGTATGTGAATATCAGAAAAGAATACATGAACTTAAGAATATACAACTTACAAGCGAGTCTGGCAATTCTGCGCAGCTGCAATAGCATACTTCCGTATCGAAGGTAAACATCGTCTGCTATCACATTTATGCTGGAAATCGGGACATTTCTACAAGGGACTGGCTTTTAATCACTAAAGGTAAGTAAATAACAGTAACTGACAGATAAATTTACAGTTTTATGAAAATTCTTTTTCTTCAGACTCTTAAACCTTTTTCTTCATTATTCATAATTGGATTTAATATGAAACACTCTTCCTTACATTGATGAAGTGATTTTTGAAAATAATTTGGCCCTAATACGCTTCCATACTTCGGATCTCCAGCTGGATGTTATGCACATCAGTTGCTGCGCAGAATTACCGGACAGCATACAATGTCGTCAGAACGCCGGTAAGGTCAACCGTATGGCATAATGCAACGTTAGAATCTCATAGCCGTCAATAAAATTTATATTTCTAGGTAAATATGATGCATACTAACATGTTTAGTCACGTAAACCACAAAAAATAAGAGACGTTAGTTGCTGTGTTGCGATTGATGTGCTTAGGTGCGCGGAATTACCGGACGGCATTGTATCTATCTGAACCCCCGAATAGAATCCCAATATGAAAGTCACAAAATATCTTGCAATGTATATATACCATGCAATGAATATCAGATCCTCTGCATTACAGATGTGATATTATTTACGATATATTCATTTCTATTGCACCCTGTGATATGGCCTTTTCAATACTGTAAATAAAGATTAATGGAACAATATTATTAAAAAAAAATGCTTTATTCAACAGAAATAATTTGCCTCAAAGGTGGAATATTGTAAACTTGATTGGGGAGTACTGCACTTTACCGGGCGCACTTTTTCTGATTACTTAGCGCTGCTGGGGTTCCCTAGGAAATCATGCTCACCTGTCTAAGAGCAACAAGGCAAACTGCTCGTCTGTCATGGTGCCCCTCTGCTCCTTCCAACGATCCATGGCCGTTTTAATGTACACCATCTGTTGCCGACGCCCTTTCTGCGCAGCATTTCTTCTTTCTCTCATATCATTTGGCGAGAATAAAACAGGCCTGCCTCTACCTTGTTTGTAAACATTCGCCGCCATTTTGTCTAGGACAAAGGAGTTACAGGATATTTGTAAAGAGCGCTCCAAGGGACGTAACTCTATGGGGGTCGCTTGAAATAATGTTCAGCCGATATAGAACGCGAGTAGATTCACTCGGAACTTTTTAATTTAATATTGTAATATAAATACGTAATTTGTTTAGGAATAAACTATATGGTAGCTTCCCTGAGGGCTGATAGTTAGTATTATTGAGAGAAATGCATTATATATTTATTTTAGAGAAGCGTGGTGTGATGCACTTTAAGAAGGTGATCAGCAAATTCAACGTTGTTATCTTTTCGAATAGCTTTCAGCGCCGACCATTGTTCAAAGCAATTTCCAAGATGGATTCGAGTTTTTTTCTCGTCGCTTAGGTTGTCTGCATGTTTCATTGCTCGATTGTGCTCATCGGAAACCCTTCTTCCTTTTTTCTTTTAGGGGAGCGTTAACGAATTAACTACATAAAAGATAAAGGATAAAAGACGCAAAGTCTACATAGCCCATAATTAGTCATTTCAGGTGAGATAATCTCCCTGAGACAAACACCGGCAAAGTTCGGAAAAGACATACAATAAGGGATAAAACTAAAATTAACTTAGGTGATGATTTTGTTTGTTCTTCACGTCCACTGTAACTTACCTTTTATAAGAACATTTTACACCTTAAGTATCTATCATTTTTCAGTTAGACTATGCATTCTGTTTATTCTTGAAAAAGTGGAAAATAGCCTTGAAGTTAGTTCCCCTCTTCTATATATTAGCTTCATGGATTCATCTTTGAAAATACACTGAAATACAGCGGTCTGTTTTCTGAATGTATACACAAAATATGAAAAGTTGATGCCATGCAGAGCTACAGATAACTTTTTTGGGTCATTGAGTTATGTACCCGCTTGTCTTCATCTCAATTGGGTATCCTAATTTTCCTTTGAGTAACCAAACAAATTGTACTCACCTTACTCAAAATCAATTGGGTATTTTGCCTTTTTCCATTAATTGTTAAAATATAATAAAGTTTAAATGTTAGTGTTTGTTATTTATATTTGAATTGTAATATGAGAAACGATATGAAAGACTGCTAGTTGAGTGTTCATGTGCCGAAATAGAACCTCTAAATATACCTGTTCCTTTATCTATCCACTGGTACGCAAGCTAAGATTTGACAGTTTTCTGTGTACGCATGTACAATCAAATTTATTGAGCATTTACAAAAATACAAGCGTACTTGAACGCAACAGACGTAATAGGAATTGAGTTTTCACATAAATATTTGCGTAATTTACGCAGATACGCAGCTTATCTATACCTCTGGCCATGTCTACAATGGTATACATAGATTTGGCGTTTTAATGCAATCTTTAGCTGATCATGACTATGATGTTAAAATGATAAATCAAAGCTCAGACAGTCTCCAAACTTGAGGTAGTCTGCCCAGTTGATAATACATCTTCATACAGATAATTCATGGTGTATGATTTGTTCGATCCCGACAGCAGTTTGGAACATAACAAATCCAACAAGTGTTTTGACATGTTCCCCGAATGTGTTCTTCTTGTCATTTTACGAGCGCTTTAGTTAACATGACCGCTCCTTGTGTTGAGTACACAGGAACGTGTTTTCAAACATGTAACAAACACAATGTCAAAAACGCACCTGCACGATTTGCAGTAGTGTTCGTGTACTTTGAGTAAATGGTCTGCCAGTTCGACGTTGTTATCTTTTCGGAGACTTTTCAGTTCTGCCCATTGCGGGAAGCAAGTTCCAAGATGAATTCTCGTCATTTCTCTTCGCTTGTTTTCAGCCCGTTTCCGTTCCCGCTTGTGTTCTTCCGACACCCTTCTCCTGCCCATCGTTACGTAGTTAAGTATCCGTAACCTAATTGATGAGCAGTCACGCTCGGAAAGAAAACACAGGACAAATTCCGGACAAAAGACAATTACTCCGCCAGTTAATTAGACGCCGAAGGGAAGTAACCGTGTAATGACAAATGTTTGTGTCACCTCCGGAAAATAGGTGTATAACTGGGAGTTCGAACCCAACCTTTGCTATTTTTTGGGCCATAACGATCTTCACATCTCGGGAGCATTGATTAGTTTTATTTATGTAAAATTAAACTCGCAATACTTTCGAAAATACATAAAAGTAACAAATTTTGCGCATTACACATTAGAACTTTACAATACAAGCAATAATTCTGTTCGGAGGAATTCTAATTATGAAATGGCCTGCATAAGTCTTGCATTCCACAAGGTTAAATTAAAACAACATGGTTTATGTAATAACCTGTAGCCGGAAAATATGAACATTCTCTTCGGAAAGCTGCAAAATAATGACAGAAAAGGGAGGTGTGCCTTAGGGACCGCTCATAATTTATGGCTGGGGTGTGTGATGATGATTTGTAAGGAGAAGCATGTACAATGTGAATGACCCCCCCTTAAGATTTATGTACAAAAGAAGTAAACCCCACCAACCCACCCCAAATGTCATGTACAAAATCAATGATTACAACACCTGAAAACTCTGGTGGCTAAGCTGGTCTGACATCAGTCAACATATGGAGGGCAACAAATTCTATAAGTAACCTGTACAATATGTGCAGTATATGTCTCTCGAAAATTATGTATCTGTATGCATAAAAAAGCAGTCAAATACACTGCTGAGTCTCCTCCATATCATTCATGACAGCTTGAATGGTTTTGTAAAATAAAAGAAGACAACAACAGTATTTACTTGTTTACAACACACATATTTCTTGTTCAGAGTAAACAATTAACTGTTCAATGTGTCAAGGAAAAGAATCTTGAATCATTTGTTCAACTGTTATTCTTTGGGAATATAACAATATCATAACAAAGCTCCAACAGGTTTCAGCAACAACAAATAACATTTAAAACATTGTCAATAAATTACTTTATTTGCAAATATCACATGATGCACATCAATCAAGATTATGGGTCCAAATAATTTTCAGTTTGACAACCAAAGCTATGGTTGAAATATTTTGGAAGTGATGGAAAAAATACATTCAATACCTGAACTGGGATATATCCATAGGGTGGGTTGTTAGACTTCTCCCTGTGTACATGACTGCTCTTTGCCCTGTTAGCCTGATTTATGCCTCAGCTTGCAGAGCTACAGATAACTTTTTGGGTCATTGAGTTATGTACTCCCTTGTGCTCATCTCAATTGTGTATCCTAATTTTCCTCTCAGTAACCAAAACAAATTGTACCAACCTCACTCAAACTCAATTGGTCATTTTGTCATTGTAAAAATATAATAAAGTTTAAATTTTATTTATGTTGGATCTGTAATATGAGAAATGATAAGAAAGACTGCAAGTTGCCTGGTTCATGTGTTGAAACAGAAACTCTCAATATACCTAAGTTATTTTTATCTATGCACCAGGCAAGCTAAGATTTGACATTTTTGTGTGTACACATGATCAAACATATTGAGTATTTACAAAAATTTCATGAAAAATTGTACGCAACAGACTATATGAGAATTGAGTTTTCACATAACTATTTGCGTAATTTACGCAGATACGCAGCTTATCTGTACATCTGGCTTTTTAACAACAGTCTAATTTATGCTATTTAATGGCTTGCTGAAAATCATTTTGTCATTATTCGTTCCTAAGTTTTCTTTCAAACGTTTCCATCGTATGGCTGCATCATTGCCTTCTTTGAGTGGCATTTTAGAAGCGGAAGCACACAAGTACAGATTCTTTTACCGTTGTCAAGCAGGAATTCCAGATTGACAACGGTACAAGAATCTGTATCGAAACATCGCACTCACGAAATAAAGAAGATGTTATCCATCAAGGTAGTCTATATTCATATTGCATTATTTCCCAGGAACACCTGCCGACCGTCGCTGTTTGTAATTATGCTCCTCGGGTTCATCTTTAGCGAATCCTTTCACTCCGGCTCTGGCTCTAGGGTTGTGGACTGTATATTCAATTTACTTTTTGTTCTGATAGAATACACTTCGTTTGAGCCTGGTTGTGTGTTAGTCATCTTGGAAACTACTCTTTTACCCTCGACCACTTGTTTACATTTGTTGGAGTAGAATTAGAGTGATCTCCTCTTGGGAAAAGCGACCACATGATGTGAAGGGGGCATGTCAAAACGTTCGTAGTTGTATTCCTCACAGTCTTCCATTTGAAAAGACATCACACAGTTTGATGCTCATTTCTAATGTGGAGATGCGGCGTAAAGCAATATTCATTCATTCATTCATTCATTCATTCTAATGTGGACCTTGATGTTGTAGATGGCATCAATTGTGAAGACTGACTGACTGAGTTTGGTTTTACGCCGCTTTTAGCAATATTTCAGCAACATCACGGCGGGGGACACCAGAAATGGGCTTCACACATTGTACCCATGTGGGGATTCGAACCCGGGTCTTCGGCGTGGCGAGCCAACGCTTTAACCACTAGGCTACTCCACCGCCCTCAATAGTGAAGAAGACTAACTTGCTGAAATGCAGTTTTTTAAATGAACATCAGCTCCAAATATAGTGATTGTCTGCATGGTGTTGGACGAAAGAGATTGAGTGAGTTTAGATTTACGCTGCACTCAGCAATATTCCAGCTATATGACGGCGGTTTGTAAATAACCGAATCTGGACCAGACAATCCAGAGATCAACAACATGAGCATCGATCAGTGCAATTGGGAACCGATCCCGTTAATCCACCCCTCTTACGACAAGCGTGGGTTACTGAAGACCTGTTTTAACCCGGATCTTCATGGGTAACACCCACCTAAGAGGGACAGAATCAAGGGAAAAACCTGAGGAGACAGGGTCAATGGTGGATATATGAGGACAAAGGAGGACATTCCACTTGTATGAAATGGACAAAGGAAATATTTCTTGGTAGACATGGTCAATTGGTCAATTATTGGATGACATTGACAGCGAGCCTGACCACCAGATCCCTGTTGGACAAAAGACTGAAATGATGTATGTCATATCAGTTGAGTCTCACCAGTACACGACTTTACCTCTGAAAAACCTGAATCATCAATGAGAGGGAACTTTAATTCCAACCCAGTAGGGCATATGGACAAGACAAAACTACAGGTACACTTAATGTGATAGATTTATAAGTTTTTTCTGTGTCTCAAGAGAAATATTGTTTACAAAATACATCATCCAAGTAATCTGACCATTTGAAATGAAATCTGACCTGTTGACTAAATGATAATGAGAAACCATAAAACACTAAAACATTTTTGTCAAAAATTTATTAATGAAGCTGTACTATTTCTGCATGAAAACAAACCATGTAACATAACAAAAGCAACATTGTGCCCATAAACATAAATGCTAGGCTTCATCATGTAATAATGTCAGCATGACTAGGTGAATAAAATCATGTTAGAAGTTTTCTTTGAAGTCCATTTTATTCTGGGACAAAAGAATTTGGATAGTACAATTTGTTTGTGGTCTGGTATGTGAAACAATGATAAATTTCTTGAAAACAATCAGTGAATGTAAAGGATTGTGAAACAGATATGCCTTACATTGTGGGGAAATATCATCTTCCCAAGGCAATGGTGGTAACTGATTGTGAAAGCCAGGTTCCAACACTGACAAAATGGGCTGGAATTTTGTGGGTTGATCGTAGAGCCACCAATGGCTATTCTAAGTTATGTCTCTCCTATTGACAAATCAGATTCCACCTTTCACATTGCTAGTATTTCCCTTAAACAAAATGGCAGAGCCCATTCAAAACTATGTGATTGCTGATCAAGATCTTGGAGAGCACTGTGACAATCAACATGCTTGGCAAATCCTGCAATTTAAGGCACGGCAGTTGCCAAGTTGTTAAGGAATCAAATGTTGATTTCATTTAGCAACTTTGACTGGACTATGCAGAGACTCATTAGACCAGCCAAAACATAACTCCATAATTCCAGCGAAGTTCAGCTTTTATAGTCAGTTAGCTCCCTTACCTAGGGAAAATGGGGAAAGGTATGACACAGGCCAAATCGACAAGCACACGCACCCACGTACACAATATGACTATATTTCAAAGTACCTTTTCATTCATGCATGTGATACATCATCATAACATGAGAAGGAGAATATTCTTTGGACACAAGTGTATTGCAAAATTTTACCAGTACTGGAAAAAGCTTATTAAAATATGTCTTAAATCAATTTTTATTTGAGAGGCTTTTTCGCAAAATTGACAGTATACATATGTATTGAAGATTAATACATTGTACACAATTCGCAGCATACAATTGAGCAAAAGCATTGATTTATCCCATATGCCTGGGTTCAAAATTAAAGAAAATGATTTTATGCCAGTTTTAGCAATATTCAAGCAGGGTAAACCCAAAATGTACTTCACACATCATACCAATGAGGGGAATCCAACCCAAACTTTAAGGCACAACAAGCAAAAGCTTCAACTATCAGGCAACTAAATTACCCCTTACCCCTCTGAGCAAAACATTCTTAATCCATGTCATGATGGTTTTAGAACATGTCAAACCTGATCATGGTTAAACACTGAATTCATCAAAATCATTTCCTTAGATGTAGCAGTTCTATTGCTGGAATACTGCTGAATGGGCAAATTATTATTATTGTGTAAGTTATCCTCTTTATAAAAACTGGCAAGCTGAAGGCAATAATTGTAAATGTAAGGAATTTGACCAAATTGCATCATTATCATCTTCCCATGTAAACAGAATTTCTTCAAGGTAGTAGTACTGGAATGGAAATTGTTTAAAACTCTGTGTACCAATTGGTTAATGTCTATGAACCTAAATGAGGAGTAACAGACACATGGGTGTGATACATGTGACTCATGTAAATAAGTACAACTCCAATCAAACATGAACATAACTAGTATATAATCTCTATAACAACCGACATGTCAATACACGACCATGCACATCAATTATATATTTAATATGACCAGTACAACACTCAGGAGATTCAGACATTTCAGTTCAAAATTATTTAATGCAGGGGTAACAGAACACAGGGTTTATTATTATCTGTTTATTGTTGACTCCAAAAACCAGGCTGCGAACCACCTGGATTATGAAAATAACATCCCAAACTGTGAGCCAAATTTCTCATAACACTTGTGCAACAATATTCTTTGTATCTTGATCAGAGTTTGCAGAAAACATGTTATATAAATGCAATCAACCTGGTATTTCTAGCTATGATAACATGATATATGTGTATGTATTAATGAGAAAGCTGATAACAATAAGTGACCTATACTACTCAAATAAATGTAAGGGCCACCTGATTCTTTCCAGTCACATAGTCAATCTGTCATGCCATGGACTCTTGTAATATGAAAGAAATGGCTGTTCCTTTACCTTTTTTGAGTAGTAAATTCACTTCATGTAATGTCACAAAATATCCGCAACAAAAGAAATTCAACCAAACACATGCAACCTACAGTACGAGTATGCTACTCTACATACAAATGATGCATCATATAGACCAAAGTACAATATCTTGTAAGCCATAGTAATTGGAAGCTTTCATACCAGTCACCACAATCTGATTTATTGGAGTATTCATAGTGTTCTACTACATGTTTTCAGCTCCTAGTCAACAGATGGTTTCCTGGCTCCTTCATTTGCAAGTTTGTCTGCAGCCTCATTTCCAGGGATACCTTGGTGCCCACGAACATGCATCTGTTACAAAGTACATACGTTTATAGCCTTGATATATTCACTGAAAAACATCTCATCTCACAATACACTTTTATAGCAGAGGGTCTTTGAACATTTTAGAAAAGAACCCTCAATAACTGCATTTAAATCCATTGTTCTTTTCTTAAGTATTTTCTCTTTCATTCAGTAAAAATGGAATGATATGTCAGTTACTAAGAACTCAAGTACTTAAGTTAAACCGAATGACAATACAAACAGGACTGCAAATTAATCCTCCAAATCTGTTATGTTCAAAGAACATCTGTTTTTCAAGACACAATAGATTATGTTTGGTGATAGTCATCTACTCATCATATCCAACTCCTTTATATGACTCAATCAATTCTGCTTAACTATCGATTAACAACTTTTATGGTAGAAAATAATTGCATTCAAAGCAGTTTTTGCTCTACCATTCTAATTACACCCATAATCATGCTTGTGGTGAAGATTTCATTTAGATGATCTGAATGAGTTGCCTTGATGCTCACCCATTTGACATTGATGCCTTGCAGGACCTCGTCCAGTTCCTGGATATCCTCCTTGTTGGCTACCTCCGTCCCAGCGGCAGTCTTCCACCCCTTCTTCTTCCACCCCTTCACCCACTTGGTGATACCTGCACACAAACATGCTCACAAAAGTTCCACTACACATAGCTCTCATCTTTGCCCATCATGAGCAAGTGAGAATATTTTTTAAATGTTAGACTTCATTGGATGATTGGGTACCACATTGCAATATATACTGAATCTAATAATAGAAACATTGTGGACATGTAGTATATCTGTATACATGTAACATGAAATCCAGTCATTGAAAACTAAAAATACCACAGCCTCCAGATGGGGCTCCCAAATAATAATACAAATAGAGATCAATTAATATTTCAACATTTACTTTCAGAATATATTTTCTTATTGGGATTCTCTAGTAACTGATGACCCTTAATTAAAGTCTATATTTAGTTGGAATGTCCTGAAGTTCAAAACTAATAAAATCCTAAATCCTAAAATTAAATCAATGACTTCTTGTACTATTAAATAACATGCTAATAAACTGTACAGTAACTCACAGTTGATAAGAAATTCACTGTCAGTATTGATCACCAGGTTCTTGAGACCCTTGGACTTGGCCTGCCGCACTGCCTTGGCTGCTGCCTGAACACAACATTTCAGTCAGTTACATAGTGTTTCCATCCTATGAAGAATGTCAGTTAGGAGATACTCTATACATAACTTTATTTTTTCTTTTCAAAGAGTGTGCCATTTCCACAGGGTATTATATGTTATCTGCAGAGTGAGTGTGTGAGTTTGATTTTACAATGCTTTTAGCAATATCATGGCGGGGTACACCAGAAATGGGCTTCACACATTGTACCCACAAGGGGAATCAAACCCGGGGCTTCTGCGTGACGAGTGAATACTTTAACCACTAGGCTACCCCACTGCCCCCTGTTATCTAGGCTTGCTGTTTATACTCACATGTATCTCAGCTCTGTTGTTTGTTGGTCTGCCACCCAGCCTTTCTGAACAATTGCTGGAAACAAACCCCATATATATATATATGTAAATATGCCATCATAACAAACCATATTTAATAGACATCTTAGTATATAAGTTTCCTTTGCATTCTCAAATTATTGTTTTTTAAGTTGTTGAATTTCTGTCAAAATATTTCCATATATTTCTTAAAAATAATTCATTTTCAGCTCGTTAAGTGTTACCAGTCAGCAATTACACAGTATATCTGTACCTCCCTGTTACTCACTAATTGTCCTATGCCAAGAAGCTGTCGACCAACACCTATTGTTAAACTGTTTGCTTTGTATAATCTAGAGAGAATAAACCATGTATATAGACCAGTAAACAATCCAAAACACAGTATTACTGTAAGAGTGGCAGTTTAGATGACTTTCAGGGGTGTTGTTAGTATCCAAAAATACGAGAAAGATTTCACACCCAGTATCAAGTGTTTGTTGACTATGTTCCAACCCAAGAATTACTACACTACTACAACAGCAATCACAGTCATTTTGGTAGCTTATGAGCTTACGTAAGTTACACCATCTATTCTGCACCACAAACCAAAATAAAGAGTGCTCACCATGGAATATCTTTGACATCTCTCTGTCTATAACTATTAGTAAATACTCAAGAAAAACTACTTAGTGTTTTCAGTGATATATTTGGGACTACACTTTCTTAGTAAAGTACAAATTCTAGTACTTGGAAGCTGCAGTGGCTGACTGGGTTAGATCTCTGACTTTGTGTGTTGGTGATTAGGTGCCTGACTCTGACAGTGTGGGTTCTAATCCTGCATGGGACTCAACCGAATAAAAGTACAAAAATCTGTACTTTACTAAGAAAATGTGTGTGTGTGAGAGAGACACAGAGAGAGATATAGAGAGAGAGATAGAGAGAGAGAGAGATATGTGTGAGAGAGAGAGAGAGAGAGTGTGTGTGTGTGTGAGTTGAGTTTTACGCCACACTCAACAATATTCCATCTATATGGCGGTGGTCTGTAAATAATCGAGTCTGGACCAGACAATCCAGTGATCAACAGCATGAGCATCAATCTATGCAACTGGGAACCGATGACATGTGTCAACCAAGCCAGCGAGCCTGACCACCCGATCCTGTTAGTCGCCTCTTACGACAAGCATGGGTTACTGAAGACCAATTCTAACCCTGACCTTCACGGGTAACTAAGAAAATGTTATCCCAAATATAACATGTTACATAAACCACTTTCTAAAAGGCATTGTGTATTCATTCTTGTTTTCAGGATTGTATGAGAAACATCAACACATTTCCAAGATATTTTATGGATTTAAGCTTCTGTAATGATCCCGAAACGTTATGTGGGAAAGAATAAAGAAGCTTAAATCCATATAATATCTTGGACATCTATAACAACTTCTAAATGCCGCTAAAACACATCAACACATTTGCCAGTTTTGTGGGCTTACTTCTTATGTCCAGGGCCCCAGAAGACCCCTATCCCTGCCACTGCTCCTTTCTTGCCGTTGTTGAAACACGCCCCGTCAGTGTAGACTGAGGGAGCACTGGGGTCAGTGAATGGAGTACCTGTGTATGGAGAAACCTATGCTCAGAAATAATCACTGAATTAACTTTTAGGACATTTAGTTTCAGATCAAAAGTTCTGATAAATGAGCCTTCAATTTACACAGTCTAAGTAAACTTAGACTCAGTATTATTCGTTACACTGCTATACTGAGTCTAACAAAACCTAGTAGAAGGTCGCGTCAGCTAACCTTTCCAATTGACCAATCAGAACACAGCTTAACAAATCGCAAAAGTGGACATTTGCACATACCTTTTGAACTTTTACCTCGAAAAATTTGTACCTGAACGATTCACAGCAGTGAGTAAACATTCGCTGAAAATAGTGTTTTGTCAGTATTCAAGCATGTCAACTTGAGGAAATATTAGCTAATAATAACCATGGCAACAGGAACCCCAAAGCGTATATACTGCAGGTCAAATATCTGTGTTTTATGCGGATTTGCGTTTGCTGGGAGATCAGTGTTGGCGACCGGGACCGAGAAAATCCATTTTGTAAGTCCCACCGAACCCTAAATAGTAGCCATTGTGTGATTGGTTAAATTCGTTCTGCTGTCTCGCCTTTGATTGGACGGTCATAGGTCGCTCAAAGGTTACCTGACACGACCTTCCACAAGGTTTTGTTAGACTCAGTATAGCAGTGTAACGAATAATACTGAGTCTAAGTTTACTTAGACTGCAAATTACAAGACAAGAAATCTTTTCTATAAAAGTGTCATATGCATATAGGTGTCAAGTAAAATAACTGAAATGATAGTACCGTAAAATATTGCTTTACTTTAGAACTACTACTCACCCCAGTTAAACAGTGTCAGAAATTAGAAGGCTCCTGGAATCTCTGATGATCTAAGTCAGAGTATCTGAGGCTAAGGACCCACTAATGTGATCCTTCTAAACATTGACACTATGACGAGGACACCTTGACTTTCTCCCTCAAGACCAAACACTGTATGGACACAATCTCTGCCCAACACTTCTGAGTCAACGAGGCTGAACTTCAATCATTTATGGTCAATTTCAGTTTGACTTTTATCATTTGATCTTATTACACTAACTAAGGCTTTACTGGACTCAGTGTCAAAGTGATAAAGATAGAAACAAAAAATTACATGCATAAAGTTAAGAGGGAGGGAGTTTAGTTTTATGCCCCTTTTAGCAATATTCCAGCAATATCATTGTGGGGAACACCAAAAATGGGCTTCATACATATGGGGAATCTAACCCAAGTCATCGACATGACGAGCGAAGGCCTCGACCACTAAGCTACCCCACTGTATAACGTTAAGATACAAATTCAGTTTTATATTTACAAAAAAATTGAAGTGCACCCACCAGACCAGCCTGAAGCATCAGAGGAGTCTTCAGTTTTAAGTTTCTTGCTTCCCTTGTCCGATGATCCCTCAGAGCTGGATCTCTTTAGACTGGACCCTGCTGCTGCTTCTTCTAAAGTATCAATCTGTTCACACAGAGTGGAATAGGTTGATGACATCAGTTCCAGCTGGCCCTGTATTTTATTGGCTGTTTTACGTACTGAGTTCAAGGCTGCTGTTGCTTTTGAGTCTGCCATACTTGGTATAGAACAAAAGTGATTGGAAAAGGCACTTTCACCTGGGGAAAAATGGAAAAATGAAGTAGTAACATTAACTTTGCTTGGATGATTTTACAAAAAATGCCTGATGTAAAAGCTAAAACAAAAAACATGTCATGATTTGGAAACTGTCCAGTTTATACCAACATATACACACATCAGTGTTTCATATTGGTTCATTAGTCCAGGGCAATGACTGATTGTAATCCATTACATGTACATAAATATGGTAATGATATCAAATATATCCTGTCAAAAGTAAGTATCCTGAAAATGTCCTTATGTCATTTATCTAGCAAAATCATCTAAAATGTATATAACAGATTCAAACATCCTTTTACAGACAAACTGTACAAGAATGCATGCACAAATGGCTGCAACTTGGATGCAAACACAATATTATGAAAACCTGCTGGTTTAAGCTTCAGTGGTCAAAGGTTTGAGTGAAAGCTGAGAAGATCAAAACGTCCTTGCAGGTACATGGTACTAGTGCCTCTATCAAATAAAAGATAGCTTGTCCAGCTACGACTGTATGTACATATGCAGGGTGTGGTATGTATACACTTGATTACCATAGGGCATGATTCTGGGTATGTACAAATAAGCCTCCCTTTGTAGATATTCAGAAACCACAGTCCTATTGTAATTTTAAAATGCATGAACATCCCATCCTGTAAATACACCTTGAAGGTGGACAATGTCTGAGAAAGTGCCCATATAATCTACACAAAATAGCTTATACAATGTAAACAAAGAAACTGCTATATCCACACCACTATTTCTTACTGCCTATATAATCTTCTATAATGTTACTTTAGTATGGACATGTATTCCTAATAATTTATTCCTTTTGGCTATGCTCACAAAAAATCAGTACATCTTCATTCTGTCAACGCATGTGGTGTCCAAAATCTGCATTATAGATGGACAGATATACTACACACTGAACTAACAGATATTCATGGATATTGTTAAACTATGTGTATTTGTGCGTTGTGATATTGTTATTAATTCACAGGATTTCATATCGGAAAATGATGTACAGACATACAGGATACTATGAACTACCATCAGGTCCTAACCATGACAGACATTCATGGACTTTGATAAAATAAGTGTATCTGTGCATAGTGTAACAGTGTATTGTGTGTTGCTAAATTCATAGGATTTATATTGGATTATAGGACACAACCATGCACTGTGAGTATTGATTTTTATTTCTGTATTATTTCCGTCAAAACAACCAAATTAGCTGCCAAATGACTGGATACCCACAACTTCTTATAATTCTAGGTTGGATTCTATATTTGACTTTTGCACGATTGTTTTCGACTTGTTGAGGGTAAACATATTTGATCCATTTTTCTATATAGAACCCCAGCAACATGAATGGATAAATAGGTGCACTTATGCAGCGAATATTATGTATTGCTAAATTCATGCACTGTGAGTATTGAGAGGATTAGAAGCTCTATTTGATTTTGCTTGATTGTCTATTTAGTTAAAGGTAAAAATATTTGTTCCTAAATAGTAAATTTACCTTTATATTTAACTTTATGGATAACCCTACAGAGCAGGAGATTATACATAACTGTTTTAATAACGTGGGTTGGGGATGGTAGCACTGAGCCGTAGGGTTACATGACGGAAGTCACAGCTTTCATCCTTGGTTTAATCTTTCAGTTATGTTTTTCAATAAGATATTCACTTTCATATCGCACAGGGAAGCACTACATTATAACATTGGTACAGTTGGCTGTTTGCTCAACAAGTGAAACAATAACTCTGGTTGCTAGCACAAAACATTCACATGATGGCACAAAAACTAAATATTTTCTCTACAAATTGCCAAGGAATAAATAATGAAAAGAAAAGAATTGATGTTTTTGAAAACTTAAAGAAAAGAAATGGAAATATTTACTGTTTACAAGATACACACTTTACTAAGGATATAGAGCAGAAAGTTAAACTAGAATGGGGATCATCTGAAGTACGCTGTTGTTCATTTACAAGTCAGTCTAGAGGTGTAGCCATTCTATTTCAAGATAATTTTGAATTTGAAATACTACAAGAAATAAGATATGAAAATAATGGAAACTATATAATACTTAAGGTTAAACTAGAAAACGAACTGGTTTCAATATCGTATTGTCCACAGAATTCTCACAACCAATAAAGACCTATACAACTATAATATATTAGAATCACCACTATGTACATTTTGCAAGGCTGAAAAAGAAACCATTGTTCATTTGATGTTTGAATGCAGATACATAAATAGGCTGTGGCAAGACCTTTTAAATTGGATTGAAGATAAAACAGACACTACTATAAACCTGGATCCGAAAACAATCCTTTTGGGCTTTCATGAAAAACGTATCGATGTTCTGAACTTGATATTTATCATAACAAAGGAATATATATATTCCAGAAAACTAGCAAATATACGTCCAACCCTTGAAAGTCTCAAAGCCAAATTAAACCACAGTTACAATCTCCATAAATATAATGCATACTCTGTATGCAAATATAGCAAGTTCACGACTTTCTGGTCATCATGCCACAACTTATTTACATAACCTACTCGATCTCACTTATGCTTGTTACTTAATTGTGCTGTGTATTTGAAATAATGTTGTGTATGAATGATAAAACTGTACCAATGCGAAAAAAAGAAATAAAGTGAAAAAAAAAAAAAATCAGTACATTTATCCAGCTACTTATGAGCTGATAGGCATCATTATGCAAACATGGTCTTCACTGAAAACAATACTGAGTGTCATAAGTCAATATCCTAGAAAATGAACCAATATGTAACTCCATGCTATTAATGGACTTCTATTATATTTTCAGCACAAGTTTCCACACCTGAAAAGAATGACTGACAAACCAATGGAATTTCTGTTCTGCATAAAGTAACACTGAAAAGTAAAACTACTCATTCAACAAAATATTTGCATTGGATCTATGAAGCAATTCAATATGTTACATTTGACCACTTTCTAAAATGGCTTTGTGTATTTCAATTCAATTACCAGTTTTGCTCACCTGAATCAACAAACTCTAGGGCTAGATCTTCAGTAGCAAATTTTTTGTACCTTGCACTGGGAAATTCAGATACCTGTGCCTTACACGCCAGCCTGAAACATTAAAGATCAGTGGTACCCAAAGAGAGCTTTGTCCACTCAGTGACCATGAAGATAACTGGTAAAATAATAAGAATCACTTGGCTTTCAATCTTTCTTTATGCAATCTGTGTGCCTGACTGTATGACAGCTGCTGTATGATGACAGTATGTACCAGGCAGTGGCCCAGTATCTGTATATCATCTGTACATTCCCAATTATAGGTATTACTCTGTATTTATTCTAAACTATTCTTTGATTGTTTTCCATTTAAATGGGTTTGTGATGTCTCAAAACTATAATTTCATTTCAGTCTTGAGTACATGTATGTATAAAATGGATGCAGAAAAGAATATATAAGGCATCCCATGAGATGAACAATATTATTCAGGGTACCCACATCGTGAGAAGAATTATATAAGGCCTAAAAAATATAGAGATTATATGATCTACCAGTACTGTATGCTCGTTCCATGTCATTACTTCAAAGGATATTCATATTCCTGTAAAGCATGAGTGAATATGTTTTAAGGCTCCTGCAAAGACCCTTGACATTGAATATATAGATGTTACCTTGGAACCCTAGATTTTGTCTGGGAAAAACCCTGCGTTTAAGAATATAACATGATAAATGCCTTTTATGGCTATCACTAAAATGTCTCATATATATATAAATTTACCAGGACTGCATGACACACACAATTCTTAAAAAATACAATGCAAGGGTTTTGTAAATAAAATTCATAACAATAAATCTTGAAATAATTACAATATTCTGATAGATATCAGTAAATGCACAAAACACATCTGCTTGTGTCCAAACTGAAAAACCACACCCAAACACATGTGGCGTCATTAACAATATAATCGATCTTATCTAACGTCTTACTTTGTTTTATATATATCTCCCTAGACCACATTTCACGGGTTGACACCCGCAATCTTAATGCGCATGAAATTGTTACAGACTATATCTATGAGCAAAAATACTAACAATACACACTAAATGTACGTAGGCCGAGTGCAGTTCCTTTCGCTCCCTCTGTCCTTTGGCGCGAAGAAGCGTGTATCACGTTCCCCACTTCCAGTCCACGCTGACCTATGCTTTATTTAGCTGACGCCTACGCTACACACTTCAAAGTTTGTACAGGTTAGATTTGCATACTATTCTGAAAGAGTCACAATATGACGTTTGATTGAGGGAACGAAAGTTACTGTTACCAGTATTTTATCTTGAAGAATCTTCTCGTTCTGAACCAAAGTATGACGCATAAACCGATCGACTTTCGGTATTGCCCAAAATATTTCCTTAGTTTCGATATAATGCCCGAATTGAAACGGAGACTTCAGAGTCAGTGAACCATGTCACAACACGCCTATTACCATGATTTGTATATTCCTGGATTTCTTCCAACTCTGACAGCATAAAACATATTATACCTAAAGAAATGGTAACTTTCAGTCGCGATTTTTATACCCACAACGAATGATCGTGTCCACGAGGACATTCGTAGCAGACAGCTTCTGCACCGTACTACTAGCTTAACAACTGACTTACTTCGCTACGAACTTCTTTTTTATTATGTACATATTAGATGCCCACAACAATTTTCAGTGATTTTTAAAAAAAAAAATAACACACTTAGAACTTTGGAATGACAATTTTGTTCCACGACCAGATAATTAATTTGTAAATCAAAAAAGGTTTTATTTACAGGTGTATGAAAGTAATTTGTTATGGAAATAGTATTTGCGTTTATGCGGCATGAAGAAATATTTTTTGAAACAAATAATGACGGCCAAAATTAATTGATTATATTTGTACAATTATGAAACGTGTGAAATTAAAATAAACTTAATATTACTGCTACATTAGAAATCCTCGTCAACCGGAACTCCCATTCACTGCGCACCTATCTAAGTCGGTCCTTTTCCGTCGTCGCCATTGCCGAGGGTTAGTGCATATCGTTGGCACCAAGATATATTATCAAAATAAACCACAAACACAGAGATCCTTTTTAACAATATTGTCCAGTCATGTACAGCAGTTCAAGTCCAAACCATCATATATATATTGTGACGTAGATGCTTAGTTATGAGAGAGATATGCCGTGGATTAGGCCGGACTCTTCATTCCTTTGCACATGTTTATCAAAGTAAAACGAACAACATGTGTTAAAAGCATTACATTCCGTGTTCTCAAGATGGTCACGGGTAGCTTGAATAGAACTGATACACAGAAAATAATCATTGCTTGACCATCATTTACAAAATAAAGTTGGAATCTTGTCAATGATGGATCATTGGATAATCTCTGAAGAGAACGAGTTGGTCATCAGTTGTCGTTAATATATTTGTGGTGGGAGCAAGTAAATACTGCCAAACATCAGGACGTGCATTTCAATCAGGTGAAACAATATCAAAACTATCCACCCAAATAAAGGCCTGTCTTTAATGTATAAATTGAATTATTGTTTAAATGTTAGGATTGAACAGAAACTTCAATAATGTGAAATTATGCCATAATGAAAGTGTTAGTGTGATTTACATATCCTTATTCAGTGCATTGAAGATATGCCATCAACACACATTCACTACACATACAGGATAGCAGTTCACACTTCCATAGCACAACTTAAGTTATCCAATACTAAAAAGCGCCTTGAGCATCCATGTACATGGGATGGACTATAGCACTATATAAATTACCCATATACAAGGTCTTCAGCAGCTTATGCCGTGTCGTATAAAGCATTTAACAGGATTGATTGGTCAGACTGTGACAAGTTTCTTCATTGAGTGGCATTTACAAGTTGGTGTCATGAACAACAGGAGGAGTTCTATGGATATACAATTTCTTTATTATTGATATGAGCAATGTTTCAGTGTAGCTACTAACACCATTATCAAGTATCACTTGCTTGATAATGTTGTTAGTAGCTACACCAAAACTGTTGCTGTACATATTAATAACTGAATACACTATAACACTCGCATACTTATTCAGTTTTCACCAAATTATAACTTTAGATTGTTTCGAATTAATGATTAAAGTTAAAAAGAGGGTCCCTCAATTCAGATTTTGGTATTTTCAATTACACTAATAGGTCCTACTTTGAATAGTATGCAAGTTATTGATTTGTTTTTGTTGGATTTCAGATGTATTCGGCTAGCGCTAAAATCATCAAACCCCAAGGGGAGAAACCCGATGACTTTGAGTCATCAATCTCTCAGGTATGTTTCAAATTTCACTTTTATTTAATCAAATTTTCACATTGCTGACTGAAGGTTTATGTACAGTTATAATTTGAGTTAGGCAAGTTTTCATCACTGGTAGTTTACCAGGATCCATTTGTTAATAATAATATTCCTTGGTAAGACTTCTGCCCGTATGCCCCTAAATTTTAATGATTAAAAATTTCTTTGAGTGACATTTTTTAAGTTGGATATGTCTTGTTAGAAATAAGACTTCCCGCCCGTTGCCCGATTATTAAAATTTCTTTAAGTGAGACATTTTTAGAAGTTAGATATTCTTTTGGTATGATAAAATTAAAGAAACATGTTAAAATTCATCCTTATCAGATGAGAAATAAATATTCTGGTGATACGATTTGTCTAGAATGAAATTTAGGGGGGATACTGGCGGAAGTCTTTCCTAATCCTTTAGTTCCATAGATTAATGCATAAAAATCCATTCAAAACATTCATATATACATAAGGCCAGACCAATTTTATTTCTTGTTTTTTCTTATCCGCCAGTCCTTTTTTTTCAAGAATAAGAAAAAAAAAAACTTCATAAATTGCCAAAAATAAAATACTTTTAGTATATAATAGGAAAGTTATTTTGACTAGTGATTTTTATTTTTTGTTTTATTCCCTCCTGCCTTTAGGTTTTCTGAGGACAAAAATCCGTAAAACAAGAAATAAAATTGTTCTAATATTCTTTCTACAGTTTTTGATTTATCATGACTTTATGTTCTTTAAATTGATATAATGATCTGACTTCAGGACATAATTTCATTAATGTTCCTTTGTTTTCTGGTTTGCTTTAATGTTTATGTGAACGGTGTGTAATAGTCTCTTTCATTGTTAATTCTTAGTTTTAGAAACTGATTTTCTTCACCATCATTTTGTCAGTGTCAGCATGGTCAGTTCTTTTTGTTTTTTGTATAACAGGCTCTGCTTGAGCTGGAGATGAACAGTGACCTGAAGGCTCAACTTAGGGAACTCTTCATCACTGGAGCCAAGGTAAAGTCCTTCAACATCATGTCATGTCATTAATCATTTCTTCAGGGATTTTCCTTGAGTCCTGTATTTGAGGGTCCCTGGGACTCATGCTCTTAATCTTCAGGGGTCCTGCACTATACAACAGGGTTCCCAGACACTTAAAAATTATTATTAATACTATGTTGTAATATTGTTGTAATTCAGTTACTGTTATTGTATTGTGTATCATGAGAATCACATTTTACAGTAATTAGACTGCAAATGATACCATAAACAGGGATGAGAATATTCCGTTGAATTCCGAGAATTTCATAAGGCCAAGGGTAATTTTTGTGAATCGTCTAAATCCGTTGACAATTGTATGAATGTGCTTCAGCAGATTTAAAGTTTTTTAATGGTTGCTGTGTTCATATTGTCATTTCTGAGCCAGTTTTAAAGGTCTAAAATGAGTAAATATCAGGAGCTTTCCGCTAGTTTTCAGAGTTTTTATCAAAACTTCATTCTCATCCCTGCATAACCCAGCTAGTACCAAACTCGGTGATAACTTATTGTTACTTGATTGAAATTTTACAAAAAGTATTTGGACTTTTTCTGTGTCCCCGTGGATGCGCTTATTAAATTTTGTTGCATCCGTTGTCAATTTTTATGTGTATAGGACGCAGGAATTCACATCCTGTAAATCCCTGTTCCTTAACACATGTTAACAGTCTTCGCTAAACTCATTTTGGAAATTCAGTTCTGGACAACAATAAAAACGTTTTTGGTAAGCCTTCATTATTTACATCCCATTATTTACTAAACCAGTGTGTTTCTCTTTCCATGAATAACTATATAGTGGTATGACAGGTGAAAATGACTAGTGTAGAAAAGCTTGTTAGCACACACAATCTGCTCATGGTACATTATCCTAATCTTTAACTGTGAGGTAGTTCTATCTTACTGTTGACCCATACACTGTCTGCATTTGCTTGTATGTGTGTTATGATTGTGTTGAATGTACAGGGGGCTGTGGGGTAGCCTAGTGGTTAAAGCGTTGGCTCGTCACGCCGAAGACCCGGGTTCGATTCCCCACATGGGCACAATGTGTTAAGCCCATTTCTGGTGTCCCCCGCCGTGATATTGCTGGAATATTGCTAAAAGCGGCGTAAAACTAAACTCAGTCAGTTGAATGTACTTTAAGATTAACAGTTATTTAGATGTATTAGTTTGATGTTGGTTCATCCAGGAAATAGATGTCCAGGGCAAGAAGGCTATCATCATCTTTGTGCCAGTGCCACAGCTGAGACAGTACCAGAAGATCCAGACCCGTCTTGTCAGAGAGCTGGAGAAGAAATTCAGTGGCAAACATGTCGTTTTCATTGCCCAGGTTTGTTTTCACTCTTTCAGCATACTTGCAGAAAGATTTTTGTTTCTTTGAAGATTTACCTTTTGGTGTTTTTGTGCTACTGGCCATTGGAGATCATGTTGCAAGAACAAAAGAATTCTGTGTTTACAATATGTGACCTCCCAGTTGAATGTTAATCTGGAATGTGACTGACTACCCAAGTGTTTGTTCTTTGCACAAAATTAAATCTTTCAGATGTTTCATGTTACTCTGAGTCTTCAAACTTTGACACTTTGGAATTTCTTCAGACAGTAAACTGATATTCTGTGATTTGACCCAAGTGATAGGCACTGCAGTTTAACTGAAGCTTTGCCTCAATTTATGTGAGTTTATATAGCCTTCTAAGGCAATACATTTTCCTATGCTTAGGCCATCTCTTGGGCATGCCAGAAAAATGTTTGTGGGTTTGAATCCCAGGTATTTTTCTAGCATTGTTAGCATCATACCTGTGCTCATGGATTTCACCAAAGTAGAAAATGTCCGAGAACTGTATTACTTTGGACATTCCTCCAGTATTAACCTGACACCATGAGATATTAAAGGAATACTGTTTAAAGTTGTTTAAACCCAATCAAAAAGCTAACACATGTAATCTTGTTTCAGAGGAGGATATTGCCGAAACCTACGAGAAAGAATAAGGGAAAGCTGAAGCAGAAGCGACCAAGGAGGTAAGATGCTTTTAGATTCATCAAGCCTTTTTTTGAGATGACATAGTTGAAGGTTTTGCAGCATTTTTACCACCATGATGACACACCCAGAGCAAGTTTTCCATCCATTGCTTTTATTAAATTTTGTCAGTCTAATAGTTCCCTGAAGTTTTTTCAGTTTCAAATGAGTGATATTTGGAATTAAATATGGAACAAGCGTAGGGATTTAGCACATACTTACAAACTATTTCGCGCACCCAAACTCAACACCTAGACTGAAAGGGGAACTTGTCCATGCAGAGTGCTTCTAATTTGATAAAAATGATGCAAATTTTACACTGTTGACTAAGTATACACTATTGTCTTATAAGTGTCCCTGTTTTGAGAGATTTGAGCTCCAAAACTGCCCAAGTGGTATATAAATATTTAATCCAGGTCTTTGACATAATACCGCTTAGTGTATTGCCTGTTGGTATCCATACACTTTATGTGATAAATAAGTATTGGCCTTGCTATTTAGTTGCTATTGTCTGTATGAACTGCTTCCTGTATGCTTTATGTGGTTGTTTGATTATCTCCCTTGGTATTCAGCCGTACCCTGACAGCAGTACACGACAGTATCTTGGAGGATCTCTGCTTCCCTGCTGAGATTGTCGGCAAGAGGATCCGGATCAAGCTGGATGGAAGTAGACTCATCAAGGTTCACCTTGACAAAAACCAGCAGACAAACATTGAACACAAGGTAAACATCACTTACCTCATTCTCCCAGATTTGGAGGCAGAAGTCTTTAGAACAATGATATGACAGATTGTGTTTGTTCACATTTACAAGGGGCGGTGGGGTAGTCTAGTGGTTAAAGCGTTGGCTCGTCAAGCCGAAGACCTGGGTTCCAATCCCCACATGGGTACAATGAGTGAAGCCCATTTCTGGTGTCCCCCGCCGAGATATTGCTGGAATATTGCTAAAAGCGGAGTAAAACCAAACTCAGTCAGTCAGTCACTTTTACAAGGTTGATCATTCTTCGTGCCATCAAAAACTGTCTTTAGTTTGTGTTGTCCGGACCACTGTGGTATAGCTGGAATAATGCTGACTGGTCTGAACAACAATCAATCGTCCTGTTTACCTGTGAAGATCGTTTGAAATTGGTCTTCTGCAACCCATGCTTTTCCAAAGAGGTTGGTGATGGGATCGGTGGTCGGACTTGCTGACATTGATTGACACATGGCATCGTATCCAATTTGCGGAGATGGATGCTCATCATGTCAATCACTGGATTGTCTGATCCAGACTTGATTATTTACAGATCGCTGTCATACAGCTGGAATATTGAGTTAAACAATAAATAAAGACCCATCTGTTCACTTATTAGAAAGGCACACAGAGGAATTTTTCAAAGATGTATGATATTTGATCTACATACACCTTTCAAAGAAATCTGAAAGTAGATGGTAGGGCTACCAATATTTTAGGCTAACATTTCATCAGTTGAGAATGCATGTTGTGGCTGTGATTGTTCTTAAATTTCTAAATCTTGATTGTTTGACAACATAAGTATCAAACAGTTGGACAGCATTTGGATTAATCTTCTCTTATCCTTGATGTCTCGGTCAGGTCACTTGGCTGTAGCGTTAATCTCTTTTCCTTCTTTCCTATAATACATCGGGTGCGGTTGGGTAGCCCAGTGGTTAAAGCGTCCGCTCGTCATGCTGAAGACCCAGGTTTGAGATCACCACATTGGCACAATGTGTGAAGCTCATTTCTAGCGTCCCCCTGCAGTGATACCGCTGGAATTTTGCTGGAAACAGCGTAAAATCTACTCACTCGCTCACTATAATACATGGACCTTGTTTCACAAAGTGATGGTAGCACTTCAACTTTGAAAGCCCGTTGGCAAATGTTTGAGGCTGTTAAGCTGTTTTCCAAGGGTGTATTATATGTATGTTTGACCCAACGTGTATCTTCCTGTTGCAGATGGAGACTTTCACAGCAGTTTACAAGAAGTTGACAGGCAAAGATGTGAACTTTGAATTCCCAGAATATGTGCTGTGAAGAAAATAATGTATAAACTTGGGAAGTAAAGCCTACTGTTTTTGGTTTTTGTTGATGTTGTATTAGTTCATCAGACTGGAATTCCTTCTTTTGATTTTACTGATTTTAACTCCAAAAATCAGGTTGGTAGTTGTAATTGATGATATTATGTTATGGAAAAGTTACAAATACACAATTAGCCACATTATTTGAATTTATTAACCAGCCCTGGATGTTCTTGCAAATTCATGATTATGATACACACGGATTGAATTGGATAAACAGACTACCATGGTTGCTAAACCTGACTTGAAAACTGACATCCTAACACAATTTGAGGCATGACATACAAACCCAATGTCCGTTATACTGATAACCAGTCTTCAGTTTTATACTGATAACCAGTCTTCAGTTTGTTTGCGGGGCGACGGGGGTAGTCTAGTGGTTAAAGCGTTGGCTCGTCACGCCGAAGACCCGGGTTCGAATCCCCATATGGGTACAACCTGTGAAGCCCATTTCTGGTGTCCCCGGCCGTGATGTTGCTGGAATATTGCTAAAAGCGGTGTAAAACCAAACTCACTCAGTTAGTCTGTTTGTTTGTCGTATCTGCCAGGCATATCTCTGTACCCATTTACATATTCTGAAGTGATTGAACATTGCACAGATCTACACTGTTTACTCGTGTTAGAGTTGATCAGTTGTATGTCCCATAGCTTATCAGTATCAGGAACCGGGCCATTTAGAAACCCAGGATAAATTTGTGGATACTTCTGCCATTGGTGATGTGTGGGGTTTCATAATTGACTCGTAGCTGCATTGAGATGAGAGAATGATAGTGATAGACCACTAAGATACCATGCTTAACATGAATACACCTCCCGGATATTTTTTAGAACGCGGCCACGCTACCCACTAGATATGTGACTATGTCACATCGTGTCTGCCAATACTAAATACGGGCGGAGAACCAAGACTATGAACAGGCAACAATGATTTAATACTAGCAGACAGCTAATTAGATGACCGTTGAATGGTGAAGTAGAAGCTGTCATGTTTAGATATCTTCGCCATCTGTTTACCACAGGTGATGAACAGAACCCAATCAATGACGCCCAGCTTCTTACTGATGCGGCTAAAGTTAATGTCGTATTTGTCATTATTAAGCATTTAGATTACAAATATATTATAAATGTTGAAAAGGTTTGGTAATATTGGACAGTGGGTTGTTCCTCAAGTGAAGCATGTTTCACCTTCTGTTTCATTCCTTGATCTGATTTTAGTGAGTCAGCTTGAAACCACACTCACTTGATCCTTCCTGTTTAGTATAAAAGACCGACAGAAAATAAACAATATGCAAATTAAAAGACGCACCCAACACGCATTTTTGAACACCTGTTAGCTAAAAGGGCATTTTGTGCTGTAGATATGACTCCCAAAAACGTGTGAGCTTGATGCTCACAACAAACGCGCAAACATCCAAATGCATTGACACGCACTTTCAAATTGTGAATCACGACATAAGGTGCATCATTCATATTTTTAATAGGGGGCGTTGGGGTGGTGAAGTGGTTAAAGCGTCTGCTCTTCACGCCGAAGACCCGGTTCGATTCCCCACATGGGTACCATAGGGGCGTGTCACGCTTAGAAACAGCGTTAGAAAGACATATAGGTATATAGACCCTACCCTAGTACTATAAGAGGACTAGGGTAGGGTCTATATACCTATATGTCTTTCTAACGCTGTTTGTAAGCGTGACACGCCCCTGTGATGGGTACAATGTGTGAAGCCCCTTTCTGGTGTCCCCCTGCCGTGATATTGCTCGAATATTGTGCTAAAAGCTTGAAACCATACACGCTCACTCATATTTGTTATAAGATATTTTTCTTGAACATTATGTAAGTTCAGTTATTTCTTTCCATCTGAGTTAACATTTGTTTTTAAATATTTGTCTTTGACAAAAGATGGCATGAACTGACAACCTTACAGATTTTGGCAGTCACCTGGTGCTATACTATTATTAACTGTCAATTGGACAAATAGCCCCACCAACTGTGTGCTGAAATAGAGCTGATCAAGTGAATATCCTGCAGATGGAAGTGAATTTCGCATACGAAATATGGTCTCGTCATATGGGCTTATGTAATCTTTTCCTTACTGCGTCTTTACTGCGGCGTTAAACGGCAAACAAACAAATCACAGACGCACGCACGCACACCACCCGATCAGAAAGGATCAAGACATACGGCCCCCAACCTGCTAACGAATGAGTGCAATACTGTAGTAGCAGCTTCTACTCTAGCATAAATGTGCTTGCGTCAGTGCCGTCAGCCCCATCAGCTAGTAACACATGGAGAAACCCTGTACATGTGATTCAGTTCGTGACATTTCCGACAGCAGCTGAAACAAAACGTACAATAAATGACAGAGTGTACCCGGCGATATCCGGGTGTTGTAGCTTGATAAGCGGTGGGGGACCGTAGTCATGTGGTTATTTAAAGCGTTTGCTCATCACGCCGATGGAAGGGGTTCCATTCAACACATGGGTGCAGTGTATGAAGTCCATTTCTGATGTCCCCTGCCCTAATATTGCTGGGATATTGCTAAAGTTGGCGTAGAGCCCCACACATAGTCACTGTTGCAACTTGAATGACGGAACAATGAGTTCAGCTCTAATCAGCCGCCATAATTATACGTGTTAACGTCGAAAGACGTTCATACACCCTTGCCAACTTTAGGTGCGGTGAGGGCGATGGGGCTAGTCTAGTGGTTAAAGCGTTCGCTCGTCACGCCGATGACCCGGGTTCGACTCCCCACATGGGTACAATGTGTGAAGCCCATTTCTGGTTTCCCCCGCCCTGATATTGCTGAAATATTGCCAAAAGCGGCGTAAAACTGAACTCACTCAATTCCTGTTGACGTGCATTCCTCCTTTTGTATTTAGTGTGCATTGGAACATTAGTCCCATGTCCTGATGAACGGTCCTGTTTATAATTACTTGTAGTCTGTCATACAGACCCTGAAGCAAATATATCCAAGAAAGCCCACGCAAGTCTAGAAAATGTGGCAAGTCTAGATTTCCACAGCTTCAGGAAAATGAAGAAAGTCTCAGGGCTCCTTTTCATTAGGGCGGTGGGGTAGCCTAGTGGTTAAAGCGTTCGCTCGTCACGCCGAAGGCCCGGGTTCGATTCCCCACATGGGTACAACTTGTGAAGCCCCTTTCTGGTGTCCCCTGCCGTGATATTGCTGGAATATTGCTAAAAACGGCGTAAAACCATACTCAGCCAGTCAGTAGCCTTTTCATTATATATATATTTTTTTATTATGAGCTTTTTCTCTGTAAAATATTTTCATTTCAGAGACTAGTTGTTAGCCTAGTTTACTTGCTATTTCAATAGTTCATGTAACAAATATCCAAAGTCAGAGAAAGTAAAGTTTTAATGTCACGTGAATATCTAGTTCAAATTCCATGGACGCGTATTAGTGTCATAAAACGATTATCATCTACGTATAGCTGACACTTTCATCAATATTCAACAACGACGGACCTGTTTTATCACGGATGTGATGATGGTTCATGCATGTGTACAAGGTTGTATATTGCCATCAACTACAGTCTGTCACAATCTACCCGTGAAGGTCAGGGTTAGACTTGGTCTTCAGTAACCCATGCTTGTCGTAAGATGCGACTAACGGGATCGGGTGGTCAGGCTCGCTGGCTTGGTTGACACATGTCATCGGTTCCTAATTGCGCAGATCGATGCTCATGCTGTTGATCACTGGCTTTTTGGTCCAGACTCAATTATTTACAGACCGCCGCCATATAACTGGAATATTGCTGAGTGCGGCGTAAAACTCAACTCACTCACTTACTTGTAATCCAAAGTACAGGAGGGAGGTAGGTGATAGCAGAGGAAGACGTAGAAACCTCGTCAGGATGTTACATAAGACACGCGATAATGACATTAAAGAGTGTAAGATTCGTTTGCATTATTTCTTACGCGGCACATTCTGCTTCATTCGGAGATTGTTTCACACGTCATGTGCAATTGTGGTCATTATCCACTCAATTGATTTTCCTGGTTATCCAACAGGACAAACGACCAAGTCCGTCAAACAACTGATTCCTTGGTTTCGCAGCTTTACCTCCAGTCGTTTCTTTCTCCGCCTGTGGTGCCAGTACTTGCATGATAAGGGAATACGGATACCTTTTTGCCTGTTTTAAGGCTCTCCCCTGCCTGAGTGAAGTCCATAAGGATACACGAAACTTAAATGCATTTAGTTATGGTCCGCGCAGTTTTCTCAATAATCAAACCTTGTATTTGTAATCGAGCCTTTCAAAGTAAATCAGAAATTGTAATAAGCAAGGTAAGCTACTTCATGGATGGCAACTTCTGTAGTATATTATGATGCGACGTTTCGGAATAGGTTCTTATACGGTTGTTAAGCACTCGTTGTCAAGCAAGTGTGTTTTTTACGTCAATAAGTGTCGCATCATAACTTAAAGAAGTCGCCATTCATAAAATATCTTACCTTTCTATCATTTATCAACTTCTAAAATGCCAATCAAACAGATCAGAAATTCTAAGTTTATGAAATATTTATTATTGTTATGTATTTTCTTTACTTGTTGTATCCTGTATTGAGTGAGTGAGTGACTGACTGGTACTGCGATATCCTGCAACGTCCTGAGACCTGGCATCCCTACCACAAAGCGATCGTGGCGCCAAGGTGATCGTAACTCCAATGGACTTACGATAGTGTCAGCGCTGGCATCGCTTTGTGGAACGGGGCACTCAATCTGACAAATCACCTTATGTGAAGGCCGTTATTTAAAGAGATCTTAGGTGATCGAAACTTCCATACCATAGACTTACGACAGTCGGCGCTACGATTGTTTTGTAGAAAGGCACCCTGTACAGTGTGAGCGAGCTGACTGACTGACTGACTGAGTTTGGTTTTACGCCGCTTTTAGCAATATTCCAGCAACCGTGAGCGAGCTGAGTACTTTGAGCGGCATGTAACATTATTCCAGTAACATTTGGGCATTTCAGTTGAACTGATTGCTTGATAACCTGATAGTTGTTTAACGCCGCATTCAGCAATATTCCATCTATATGGCGGCGGTCTGTAAATAATCGAGTCTGGACCAGACAATCCAGTGATCAACAGTATGAACATCGACCTACGCAATTGGGATACGATGACGACTCAACCAAGACAGCGAGCCTGAACACACGATCAAGTTAGTCGACTTTTACGACAAATATGGGTTACGTGGTGAGGTGAAAGAACATTTCGCTCATATGACTACGTACATGCGTGTTTGTGTGGCTGCTTGTACTAGCGCATACTTAAGCTGGTTTTATAGTGCTAGCTCACCGAGATATAGTATGACCAGAAATTATTGAGAATTTTAGGAATATGTTTAATTGGATTTCTAGTATAAACAACCTTGACCAGCTATCAAGTGCTTGGTTTCATTCAAGAGAGACAACTCCGTTAATCCTTTTTCATTAAATTGTGAAGAGTTATCCCCCTTTGTTTACTTGCTCGCAGACGACATTTTCATTGATCCTCAGTATGGATGATTTAGAGAGAAGATGAAGTTGAATTTAGAGTATTATAACAAGGACATCAGATCAGCTTAAGTGATTTCATGTAGAACAGGCATCCCTTTGTCCATTGTTTATCGTATTTGAAAAATATTGCAAATGGATATGGCATTGAGCACCAGGGAGGCGCAGGTAGGCCTCAGAAAATTGACTGTCGGTGACAGGAGACGGCTTGGTATTCTTGTTTCTAAAAACAAACGAAGGAGTTTAGAAAACTAAAGGCTGGATATGATTGATAGAGGAACTGTGACTGTCTGTAAGGAGACAATTAGAACTGAGCTGCATGCAATGGGTTGGCAGAAAAGTCGAGGAATTCCATCACCGATCATGAAACCTGAACAAAAGGAGCGAAGGTTGAACTGGTGCTTACAGCATAGAAATTTTAACTGGGACAATGTGATTTTCTCAGATGAAAGTTCTATGTGGCTGTTTCCTAATACACTGAAATTCTGGACCAAACAAACTGAAAAACTTTTGTATCAACGCCTAAAGTGCAGTCCGAAATTGCACGTGTGGGGTGGCATATCTGTGTTAGGGGCAACGCCCCTCTGTGTACTTTAAGGGAATATGAACAGTGAGCGGTACACAGATATTCTCGAGGGACATTAACTTCCATCTGCTCACGTGTTCTATGGAAATTTTTTGATTTTCCAGCAGGACAACGACCCATAACATCGTTCAAGGCATTCACAGGCCTGGTTTCGGACCCAAATATGACATTATTAGATTGGCCAAGCTATAGCCCTGACCTAAATCCAATAGAATATGTTTGGGGATTTATGAAGGAAAGTGTCAATAAGAAAAATATTGCTGAAATGAAAGAAGAGGTGGTCCGATATTGGGACAGAGTAATAGTTTCAATAATCAAAAGGTGTATTTGTAATCGTACCATATTTTACTTCTAAAGCATCTTGCTACTATAGTATTTTTTATTTCCTCAACAGTCAAAGACGTAATTAATTTTTCAAACATTTTCCGGGATATTTCTTTACTTCTCATAAAATCCCACACACTTCATTATAACGCAGCCAAAGTTTATAGCACATGACAAGCATTGATGATACAGTGATATATCAGTCAATGTTTATTAGATACTCATGTTGAAGAAAAACATATGTTCCTCTCCAAAATTATTGTTCAGCGTCACAAGTAAAAAATTAAATAAAGTAAAACACACAGCACATGATTTGATTACTATATTTTAAATAAAATGTCACTGTAGATCAATAGGCAAAAAATGAGGTGTGTCAGAGCAGACATATCTGATCAGTAAATGAAATCAAGGTAACAGCTGTTTCATCATTTTAATGAAAATTCCACAGAATCAGATTCACAATAAAATGTGTCACATCTCCAAACACTGTCATCAGCTGGATATTTTAACAGCCTGTCAGTGAGCAGATGAGGAATTAACGTTTCAAAACAACACCATTTCATGTATCAAAAATGGGTAAGTGAGTTTAGTTTTACGCTGCACTCAGCAATATTCCAGCTATATGGCGGCAGTCTGTAAATAATTGAGTCTGGACCAGACAATCCAGTGATCAACAGCATGAGCATTGATCTGCGCAATTGGAAACTGATGACATGTGTCAACCAAGCAAGCAAGCCTGACCACCCGATCCCGTTAGTCGCCTCTTATGACAAGCATGGGTTATTGAAGGTTAATTCTAACCCGGATCTTCACGGGTGGTATCAAAAATGAATAAATAGAGTCCTTGATCTAACATATAGAGTTTTTATTTCCTGAAAAATGAGTTGATCTATAACATCTTATACAATGATAAAATCATAATTGTTTTTAAACAGCTACCTTGCTCAGACCCATGTACAATTCTTGGTGATTGATGTACATACAGATTTTACACATCTCACTTCCACACACACCTGATAACATCTCCAACAAACCATACCTCATGTTTTTGGTGGATGTTCCTCCTGTTCCTCCTTAACCGACACCCCTACCCACCGAAATAAATATACACAAACAAACACTAAACTCCCAAAACGCTTTCAGTAGAAGCAAAAATTAGGTAAGGTAGGATTCTTATTTTGTGTTGATGTTTTATAAGGACCGTAATTTTCAGTATGCAGGTATGTCTGTTTTCAGAAGCACATAATGATTTGTTAACTAGGGTGACACTCAACACATTATTTTAGTAGTATGAAGTCAACAATACTGGGGTGGTATTGTTGTAAACCCATAAAAAATAGCAAAAATGATAACGAGCCAGTAGGAAACAAGAAAAATATTTTCAGGTTCATTTTAATGTCATTACTGAGTGCTTACTGCACAGCATCACAGATTAGGCAAACATACTTTTCTAAAAGTGCTTGTTGACTGTTATCTTAAAACTGCCACATAATATAGTCATGCCTAGCCAAACCTGACTGACTGAGTTTGGATTTATGCCGTTTTTAGTAATATTCCAGCAACATCATGGCGGGGAACACCAGAAATGGGCTTCACAAGTTGTACCCATGTGGGGAATCGAACCCGGGTCTTCCGGTGAAGAGCGAACGCTATAACCACTAGGCTACCCCACCGCCACTGTAACTGAAGGATTTAGATGTGATCCACACAACTGGTGCATGATGAAACACAGCAAGACACTGAGAATGTCCACATGAAGGATCCATTTGTACATCAAAGTTACATCAATTTTACCTCAGAATTGCATTGAAACAGTATATTATATAATTGCATACGTCAAATTAGTCTCAATACAAAAGGGAAAATGTGATATATCAAACATATTTTTTTATTTATATGCAACACAAGATGGCACATGATTTATCCAACACAATTTTAATATACATGCAGCCTGTGTACTGGATAGCAAATTGAATCAGTGTCTGGAGTAGATGTTGTTGACCTGAATAGTGAAACACTTTTGATACCAACATATCTATACAGATAGGAAAGTATACCTGTAGAAACAATTGTACATGATTAGTTTGTGCATAAAACCCAGATTACTGCTTCAAAATGCTCCGGATGATCAAAATGATCTATAGAAATTGAGACCCCAGGTTCTGTAGCTCACTTGACTTATGACAAACATTCTGGTACACATATCAGCATCAAGTTACAATACCCTGAAAGATTCAGGTAAAATGAAACAAAAGGTTTTTGTGCATTACACGTTAGAAAAATGATACCATGAATACAATTGGATCTTCTACACAAAGTTTGAGACCTGCGCGCAAAGTAATCCTGAAGATCAAAATTTCAACTTTTTTTAGTTTCATTTGATTTTTCAAATATTAAGAAAGCAATACAGTCAGTGTCAAGGTTATCAAGAGTAGAGGCTGGAAAGGCCATTCTTTGAGATACTGCGGGACAATAGCCCATGCCTCCACAACTGAAGCAATGGCTGTTTCGGCTATGACAAGCCCTGGGGTAACCAACACACCAGTAAATCTGGCAAAATTGCTGACCAGCTATCTGTGAACACATTGTGCCTGCTTGAGCTTGCTTCACTATTTCCTGCTATATATATATACTATTGAAGGATTATCATATGTGTCTGGACCATCCGATTGATACTTCAAGCCTCTTCCAATGTTCAATATCTGATGATTATTATTCAGACATCATGCAGAAACCTACTTTTTGCCATTGCTCCCCAATATATGCAGATAACATGATGGTACTCATTGGTAGGCAAGTGCATGGTTGGGGTTAAAGATAAGGTTTCCAAATGTCGTACAACAGCATTTTCACTTCGGTGACACAGGCTATTACGCTTTAAAGGATGAATCTGGATCAAAATTCATATACAGGGAACATGTATGTTTTGCCTAACTAGACACACCAAATTTAACACCTATTTGAAAAAGGATGGCTGACTCATAGTCTATAGTGGCCATGGTGGCCATATTACATCAGAATCAAATGAGAAAATATGCAGATATTCCATATCTGGAATCATTCGTACAAAGTTTCCTCTTGCCTTTGTAGTATAAGGTAAGACAAATGTCAGACTACAAAACTTGGCGCGTGAAAGTTAAATGCTGTTAGGTAATTAGGAAAATCAAACTATGACAAAAAATCTTATATGTTTTTTTTCAAGCAGAAAAGGCTGAGAGATGGCCAGAAATGACATTTTCTCTGAGGCCATCATGCACTTTGTATCAACATCATAGCTGTTATTTCTTAAAGTTTTAGCTCATGAGGTCTTGTATTTTTCACAGCAGAAAGTTAAAAATGGGCAGACATAGATAACACAAACTCACCTGACTTTAATCCAGGTGAGCATAAAATGTTACTGAAGTCATATGAAGACAGCCAACATGACACAGCTAAAGTTTCCAGCAAATAAGCAAAAAGTGAGAAACAAATTTGTCGTATATGCATGGTGATAAACTGAAAAGCCCTCCATTTTGTTTTAATAAGAAATAACAAGTACTTACCAAGGATTATTATTAATATGTACAAAGTAATAATTGACAACATTAAGAAATCTCACAGATTCGCGCATGTACAAATAAAATCACAAACAATCCATTACCGACCCTCACGTTGACTTGCCAGCACAGCAGTCCTTTGTAGGCACAGTCTGAGACACAGAAGGACACTCAGGGTCATTGTCCTGGGAAGCACATTTGTCTAAAATGTCAGATGCATCCAGCTCTGCAGATGTCCCCTCATTGAAGACAGTGTCAAGGTCACTTTCAGGCACAGAGTTCATGGTTGTGGAGCTTGGGGTGGGCTCAGTGAGAGAGAAAGAACTTTGTGATGGGGTGATGGTGGCTGCTGGGGCTGGAACGCCCTCGGGAGACGGAGTCTGGTATTTCTTTCCTCTTCTCTTTCCCAGCACTTTCAAATAGTTTGCTGGCAACAGCCCTGTATTGCTTCCATCCACAGATCCAAGTAGCCACCCTCGTACCTTGGGCTGCATCTCTGCAAAACACAAACACAACAAGGTTGCATGTGAGGCCTGCAAAGATGATCATATGTGCCGACTCAGAGTATTCAAATGCTATAATTAGTTGAACTAAACTAATATATCTGTTAATTACTGACAGTAAAAATCATAATAAAAGTCACAAGAAACTTTGAAGTTTGTGTGAAGTTGTCTGACCAAAACTTCATTACCTGATCCTATGTGTATCCAAGAAAACAGCAATAATGGTGAAAGCACAACTAAAATTCAATACTTAGCCCACAACATTATGACATGATTTTATCAGTTTTATGCAAACATGATTAGCAGGCCAATTAAGCATTACAAACAAGCAGACACTGCAACAGTTGTACAAGTTTAAAATCCCCATTTTCAACTTATTTTCCCCATTATCAATTCATATTTCGCCATGTTGAAGGCATTCCCACCATAATGCCTTTTATTCATCAACAAACCAAGCTATCAGTGCTGACAGGAAATGTCCATCATCTTACTGAATCACTTGGGCTTTATTCACTAAGAAAAAAAGGGTTCTTCTCATTTTGTTTTACACTCAAATTGTCTGGGTTTTTCAATAATCTAACCCTTTCTGGTATTAATCATACACTATGTCAACAGGCCATAAACCATACTCTTTAGCAACATTTCTAGAAGAGTTGGGAGAAATTACTGAAAACATTGTTTGAACAATGAAATTTAGAATGGTTAATAAGAAGCATTATGAACTGTCTGAGGCATTAGAAAATGCTGAAGAAAAAACTGGTTACAGATTAAAATGTTTATGTTAACCTAACTATGCCGATGGATGCACACAAACCTTTAGGAGCAATGTTGATCATCTGTCCGGCAGTGAAGGATAGTTCATTGTTGTTGCTTGCACGGAAGTCATACTCAGCTCGGGCAACAAAGTGATCCTCGTCCCCGTTTGCCCAGCTGTTGGTCTCATCTGGATATAACAGAGTATCAATGGTGGACAGTTATATAATAAGTATGGGTAATGATCTATAGTACTTCTGTACATGGCTATTGATTTCATATATAGAAATGAAACCATTTCAAAGAAAATGTTTGTCTAAGTGTTAAGTAATTTCATGATTTTAATCAATAATTTTTCCAAGGATACTGACAAAATCTTCAAAGGTAAGGCAGTTTCTGTTCCCAATTTCATTTGGCTGATTACATATTGTTGCCAAAGCTTTTGTCACTATTTTACCCTTGTCAGCATGGTAAGATTATATTATTACTGATACATCTACTTGTACTGTTTACAGTAAACAGTGATGCATTGTCAGTATTACTGACTGTGATGTCAAACAATTTTCACTCTCTATTCCCATTATTCATGTATAAAAGTTACGTTTAATGATTTCATAAACCAGTAATCACCTTCAAACCATGTATATCACAACACAACCATGACAATGTTAACAGCAATGCACTGACAAGTATGATGAAGCATAATGAAATATACGCACCAATGCCAGTTGAGAAGGACCTGAGGATTTTCCAGATAAGCCAGGGACCTCCAAGGATGATGCCAAAGAACATGAAAATGGGCCAGGCACTGTTCTTGGGTGTGGGTTCCCCAGGGGCCAGTTTGGCTGCAGCCTGGGAGACAGCATCATTCCAGGCCTGGGCTGCATGACCTGGTGGTCGCAATCGCAGCAGTTCCAAGAAGCGCCTGTAGATGTATTTAAGGGTCCGAATGAAAGCTAAAGCAGATATCACAGAAACAAGCTGACTCCTCAGTCTGGACATGTTGTCAGCCACACCGATCACAGCCCGGAATGAATTATACACTGCCTGGAAGGTCGAGTCCATCATCATTCCTACAGAAGTCACTGCACTCACAACATTCTCAATAGCCTGGAAGGCTGGCCGAGAATTCTCCTCTGCTTGGCGGGCAAATGTTCCCATTGAATCCTGGTTTCCACCGAATCTATTGTATCCTCCTCCATAACCACCATACCCATAGCTGCCATAGGAGCTATAAGGGCTGTTATACATACCACCACCATAGGAGGAATAAGGGCTGTAACCTAGTGAACTTCCCATACCATACCCTCCTGCATATGGACGGGCTCCAAATGTATTCTGAGAAGGACGAGTTGGAACTGGTGGTGGTGCACTGGTTGTGCCCTGAACACAGCATGGTGCAGGTGTACCCCTAAAAACAACAAAGTTATAAGTGAGTGAGTCATATAAGTCACATTGCAGTATTTCAGCCATATTGTGACTATGTCAAGTTATATATTGATAATAATCATAGGTAAATCATAAAAACCTGTCAACAAAGGACAGTAAAACAATTAGTTTATCACAGATAAACATTCAAAAACCAGTAAGTAAATTTAAAACATTTTAACTATACAAGACGATACAATATAAAAACAGGCTATAGATTGCCAACAACTAAAGGTAGATCACAACAAAGTTACAAAATCAAAAAGATATGCTTATTCATGAAAGTAGTATCATTCTGAAACATTTACATGTTCAGGGATAAATCTCTGCCTTTTGCTAGGCAAACATCTGATCTGATTGACCTGCATGGTGGCACATAAGTCTGTGCAGGCATTAATAAACTGAATGTCACTTCCGACAGCAATTGGTAAAATGTGATTGATAGAAGCATTTTACATGTCATTGCCAACGGTGGGATACTGCTGTCATAACATCCTTAACATGGCTTGAAGAACAATACACATGACTGCCATGTTGTTTACAATAGCTCTGTTACTTCAATGTAAAATCATTGGGATTACAATTTGGATTCATTTTTATTCCTAAAATAGCCTGCGATTTATAGTAATTAGTATCTAAGTACTGTTTATCCACTAATCTTAATTATTGTATAATTGCTCTTGCAGCTTACAGTTGACTGAGCACAGATGCTATTATTTATCTTCATTAAGCAAGAGACTATTTGCACTGATTAAGCACGTTCATCATGCTCATGATAATCAGATATCCAATGGAAACACAAGTAGACACAGGTGACAGATATATTTATTTCTGCAATAAAAGCCAGGTATTTCTTATGCTTGTAATTCTCCTCTGTATTTTCTACGTGAGAAAAAGCCATAGGTAAACAGGGTTGGAAATAACTTTAAAATTGCTAGTGTACTCCGGCACATGTAAAATCTCTTGCCCTGATAATTTTTCCACTATACCGGCCAATTTTATTGTTGATTTTTTAAATAAACAACATACATGTAATTAACATTGGAAAGTCAACTGGACACCGGTACAGCGTACTACAGCGTGATATAGAAATTTGCAAGCCTGACAGAAAAAAACACTGGACTGGGACGTCGGGCAATGGGTTATTTCCACCCCTGGGTAAAGAGTATATGAGGGAAATATATGATATAGGCGTTGAATTGAGGAAATATGACAAATGGGGCAGTTTATGACTGTGAATTTTTCAAATGTACCAAGATTTAAAAAATGAAATTTTGCAGTAACTTTCATGAAAGGATAGCTATACAGAGTTTTACACCCGGCATGAGATAAGTTCTGAGTCTGATGTCACACATAACCAATTCAGTTCTCAAACCAATGCAAAATAATTCCTCAAACAGAAAAGCAGACATCACAGGGTAAGTTGTCTTATTCATAACATTGTCATGCACATATAATGATGCAAAACAATATGTAAAGAGAATTGAAATGTTTGCACCTGTTTTTGTTTTTTTTCGGAATAAGTGTGTATATTTACAAACAAGAGAAAAGTCTGTTCATATGATAAGCCTACATTCACAGTGCAGTCACTGGAGCAGAAACTGTTTTTGCAGGTTATCACAAATTTAAGCTCACCTGTTATCAGTTTTGTTTACAAAAAATGTTTCAGAAAGGTTGATGTATGTGTGATAAGAGTTTGAGATAATAGATTTATTCTGGTTTAAATCAGGTCACCAGTTTCCATTTCTGTCACGTCCTACACATATGGTAGCTTGTATTGATTCAGTTCAGGACAGAGTAAATGTGTGAATACTGAATATATTATAACAAAATAAGGCTAACACCAGATTACAATTGCGGAAAGGGTCCAGTCAAATACATTCTTACCAAAATGCGAGTCTACAAGAAACGATTCTAGTGCCACATTCAGTCCCTCATCGCGAAACTATAATCATCGCTGGTAAACTGCACTGCAACATGGCAAGTCTGTAAGGTATTTGTCTGTTCGACAGTGATGGTAAAAAGAAACTAAGGGTCGTGAAGAACCATCGTCATGGGCAAAGTCCACTGTGGTATTCTACTCATCATTGAGGCAACACATCCCGTGTCAACCCGTACTTCTGACGCAGTGACAAATATTTGTTATTGCTACCTACCCAGACATGCTGTTGACGGGAGCGGGGCCTGGATTTTGACTGTTAACACCAGCTCTCTCCCACGGCTTCAAGGGTGCAGCCATATTGGGTGACACTGACACCTGGTGATAACACAAGGTAACTCTCAGTGCAAAACGAAGGTTCTAACTGGGCTCCTGTCTACCTCAACTTGTATAAGCGCTAAGCTTGCGCCGCATACAAACAATGGATCCAGTTTAAGGTTTTGATCAGTCAGGACGTGAGGAAAATTTGGTATTTTTTGGCGATTATGATTCACTGAAATCTCAGTTATTTCTCATTTGAACTTTCGTTGATCTGGTGTGTTTTTCTTTTACTGACCTTGTGTAGACATATTTGGTTAAGAAGTACAATATGCACGTCTTACTGGTTTTACGAATCGACAGAACGTTTAAGGATAGTAAAACATGAATTCTTTTACGAGCTTGAGAACGACTGATATACTTGTAAGTGTAATGATTTATTCAGATAATCCGACTTTTTATGATTATTTTCTGTTACTAACAGTGTATGAATTAATTTTGAAAAGTCACTGGCCAGCCAAAATGGTGCTAGCCCACATCATACTTTACTGGCCCTGCAAAATATCAATATCAAAATGCACATAGGTCAGAATTCGTGTGATGTTTGGTAATTGAAGATGGTAAGTTACTGTCGCCCATTGGAAACAAAAATCAAACAAACAGAAAAACTAAGATTTCATTCTTTATTCCTTAAACACATGTTGTCCAGAGAAATCACTGTTCCAATGTGCAGCTCACGTCTAGTGCAAAAGATATGCTAGCAACCTTCATTATACTCATGTACACGTATATTAAATAAAGAACAAATTATCTGAGATTTTCAGCTCGCCAGTCGCTGTAGCTTTAACAATATATTACTGGCCCGATTCACAATCAGCTAGCATTTGGCTAGCGGACCAGTAGCTATTTCGAACAGTACATTTGACATATTTGTATCGTCACAAGGTATCCATAAGAGAGATGTCTTGCTGTCTATATCTACGGTACATACAGCTGTATTTCTTCCTCACACCATCTCTTGAAAACAATAATGCAATGAAGCCCCTTGTACTAAGTATTCGAAACACCTTATTTGAAACTTTGCGTCAATGCCGAATATGTAAATGTGTGGGGTGAAAATTTGAATGGATGAATGGATGATGTCTTGGACTGTTCGGGATTTGCTGAAAACCACGTGCACGGATAAGGTGCAAACACAACCTGTTTCTGGCACGAGTAAGCGGCGCAGCGATGCATATTTTTGGGTCAGGGATCAAGTGATCAACAGCATAAGCATCGATCTACGAAATTGGGATACGATGACTTGTGGGTCTGACCACCCGATCCCGTTAGTCGCCTCTTTGAGACAAGCATTGGTTCCTGAAGACCAATTATAACCCGGATCTTTATGGTTCCGCGCAGCACTACAAAGTGAAGTGCCTTAGCATCTGGCTCGCCCATTCTAATCATTTTGCGTTGACTTCTGGTATGATCAGCTTCCACCATTTGCGCAGTGATCTCCCCAGTGTCTTCACTACTCCTTGGTAATGGTGGCCCCACTGTTTTCACTGAGTGACCCACTCTGCTACCATCCACCAATTGTGTTGGAAAAGAATTCAATTTATATAGCACTGTAGATTTTGATAAAAGAAAAGTTCAGGAAAGTAATCTTTGAAAAATACTTTATAACATAGAAAATAACAAATAGTAATATGAGTACAATTGGCATTTGACTGCATCACAGTTCATTGTGTAGTTCTTTGTTTCACCTGGTGATCTTCCTAATGGCTTTTCTCAGCTGTTTCAGGACAGATTTCTTCTTTGCAGTTTTAGGCTCCATACAGTCCTTAACAGAAGTCATGTCAGTACAAAATACACTTTTCCCATCCACATGGAACTTTTTGTCATGTGAAACAGCAATTTTCTTGCAATTACTAGCAACAGTCGTTTGAGGGAATTGTCTAGTCTCAGTGAGTTCCTCCCGCTTTCTGTCACTCCGTCTTGCATCTTGCATCATCTTCAGTTCTACTTTCAGCCATTCACTCTCCTTTTTAATATCATCAGCATTCTGTTGGAGGTTAGCATTCTCTGTCTTCATCAGCTGAAGTTTTGTCTTGAGGTGTTTGTTCTTCAGCTCCAGACACTGGGCATTGAGTCTGGCGTCTTTGAGGTCGTCACGGACACTGTCCAGTTCGGCCTGAGTAGTGGTAAGTCTCTGCAGCAGATCCGACACCTCCGTCTCGACAGGGTCACTGTTAAAAAATTGAAAAAAAAAAGATAAAATTGTAGTTAGACGGATGTATCACGTCAGTGGGTATTATTTTACCTCAGTTCAGTAAGCAATATTTCAGTTATATCACAGTAGCCTGTAGTAACTGGAGTAGTGACGAAACGAACGAGTGGTTGAAACGTTCCATACCGATTGTAACGATGGTCCCATTTAAGCCCCATTCTAACCGGCACCAAAGGCTAGGACATCTATATACGACATTTACATAGGAGTGTTACATATTCATCTCTTTTGTTAACTTCATTTCAAGCATAACTAAATGTTTAGAAAAATGAATTTCAGGTTTTACTCCCAAAGTGAATGCATGACACTTTTTATGGAATGCGATGAGCACTATTAAGAATAAAAAGAAGTTGTTATCCATAAAAGTGTCATGTATTCATGTTCGTCCAACTTCTAAATGCCTTTCAAAAACTTTACTCCAAAAAGTATTGGAAGGACAAATAATAAATATTCGTCTTTAAGAAGTCAGCCTCAAGCATTCCGTTTATTACTAAAGCGCTTGCCTGTTGCAGTGAAGGGGTCCTTGCAGATTTGGTCGAACGTCCTTGACATTCAGAGGTTGCTGTGTGGGTTGAGTTTCTTCCGAAGGACTGGATACTTGGGCAGCTATGAGTAAAAATAAGCCATTATTAGTTTCGTATATTCAAGAAGTAGTAATTTCGCACAATTACTTTGATATGTGTTCTTGTTGTAAAGAGTACTGCGTGACTGGTGAATGAAGTGAGTGAGTGAGAATGGTTTTACGTCGCTTTTAGCAATATTCCAGCAACATCACGGCGGGGGACACCAGAAATGGGCTTCACACTGGTGAATGAAAATATCAACTGAATAAATAGGTGAGAATCGTGCAAGAATCAACTAACCAATGTCAGCGGTTCTAGACACTGGGATAAATGCTGAAATCCGTTTTGGTTGTGTTTGAAGCGTATGTGTAGCATCGAATTCGATACCACAATCCCAAGGGAATGGCGGTTCAAGGCGTACTGGAATTGGTCTGATCAAACCCATCTGAGGTGGCGAACTGGTGAATTCTGAAAAAAGACAATGATAATTACATCATTGTGTATGAATGTGAGAAGATATTGTCTGCATATCAGTTTATAGCAACAATTGAAAAGTACTGTCAAGTTGGAAGTTCTTTATATTGACACTTGATGAGAATTACAATAGCTTGTGCAAACGAGTAAACAAGTACCTCCTCATTGTACCGTGTCAATAAGGCTGCAATTAAGCATTGATTGATTGATCGGATTTTGAGGGATTCTACGAGCGCTTCCAGCTATGCTCACTCGAAGTCCCTTTTTTTATGGTTGTATACCTTTCACGTCATCGTCGTCACGGAAACAGCTCCACACTTCTGCATCAAAATCGTCGAACTGAGTAGATTCCATCACAGGATATCCTCAGACCCTGCGTGATGGAGTAAATACATGAACGACACAACATTCACCAAACCTTCATATGGACTCATTTACATGTTACAATCAAGCTGTCTGAATAGATTTATCCTAAAAGCACTATTACACCAAAAGTACAAACAAAAAACCATAAGTGTGAGAGAATGTAAAACCCTCGTATTATAAGTCGTATAGGAGGTTCCCATAGTTTGTATTTTGTCGCGACTAAGTCACATTCCGTCGTTAAAATATCAAGTCTTTACTTACCTTAACTCTTTACCAAATGTGACTTCCACTTTACGCCGAACAGATCCGCATGAGAACCGTATCGTGGGACAGTCGAGACAAGACAGCTGATATGGAAGTGTCTGCTAATGATGACACAGTCGCGTTCGGACATCGATCCTTTCCATGTGGTTATCGCCCTTCCTTCTTGAGAAGGTTCAAAATGTCGAGCCACAAATTTGATATGAGCGTTTGAGAGAACAAGTCTGAAGATCATAAAGTGAACAGTGGTTGAGGCTGACTACCTTCCGTTTTATCAGATCCGAAATTCTCACTGCTTGATATTGACGCTGGAGCAGTCCTTCAAAATGACGGGGTGACACTGTGAGCGAGCAGACGTCGTGCAAATGAAGAGGCAATGACAGGGGTGACTCTGTCACTGACCATACATGTCACACAAATGAAGAGATACTGAGTTCATTTTACCTGAATATTTTGATTGGGACTTCTCAATTACTTACTGCCACAACATATTTATCTCTGCAGCAGTGACATCACTCACAGGCCATTCGGATGACATAACACCGAGCCCTCACACCTCACTGAGCTTTGTTTACATAACACGTAAACGCCAAGGTGTTAAGATGGGCAGACCATTGACGTTTTGTGTCATTAAGGAAAACACGAAAATCTTATGCACGAAAAGTCAAATGGCAATAAAAACAACCGATTGACGTAAGATGAAATCCTTATGTACCACAAACAGCGTATGATTGGGAAGTGTTTCCGACAGCGAGAGATATGTTTAAGAGAAATTGTTTGCGATGGAATGCTGATTGACTGCAACTTATAATGTCCCGGAAAAGTTGATCATTGTGTAATTGACTAGGATTGTGGCTATACGGCATATCTCGATAGTTAGGTCAGGATAGGATAACGCACTCTCTTCACTTACACACACACACATATATATATATTAATGAATATAACATAACTATCATTTATCAGATCTGAGTAGAAAAGACGTCCACTGACCTCTTGATCTCAGAATAGTATGTTACGATTACCTTTTAATGCCACACTTGTATATGTTTTTACCCATAAAATATATCATTTTAGTTCATTTGTTGTTTTACGCCGCAGACATTAAGAGACCTGTAAATAGAGAAACCATTGG